TTTCCACACCTACGGAAGGAATAAGATTTCACCCAAGATTGAAAAAAGAAAAGAGTCCTGGTGTGATGTGTTTTAAATATAGTGTGTATAACTTCTCTGTCAGTATGCTAATTGTAATGTGAAACCCTGTAGTTAAACTTATGCATGGTTTTGTGAAGGCTTTGAATTCCCCACACATGGTACTTTTGTATTATAATTATTGCATAATCTGTATCTGTATTTAGCTTTGTACCTGAAATCTTAAAATCTTGGTGGAGTGTTTTAGTTGATTTTTTGTTTTGTGAGTTTTGTGAAAGCACAAGTAAGTACTCATTTCCCATTACCATCCATAAAAAGATGCAAAATCTTTTCTAGAGTTACATTTATGAACAAACGTCTACATGCACAGATATCGACATCAGCACCTGGTCTATATAAATGGTGTCTGCATGTATATGTTTAAGTGACTATTCTGACATGCAGTTCCAAAAAAACAGTGGTGTACTGGAAGGGTAAAACCTGGGGATGTACTCAACAAACAAACACGGGTGCTCTTGAAGCAAGGGTGGAAATCTTGTTTGTACAAGCAAGTATTCCTTTTCCACTACAATCCCATGAAAGATGTAAAGGCTTGGCTCTGCCTTCACTCGTGTGTCAGACTATTCAGAATTCAACAACTGTGCAAACTGGATACAAATAGAGTATTTGCATTAACCACTTTGCATTCATCAAATCAGCAAACATTTCAGGAATCTGTCAAAATTAAATGTAAAATTGAAAATCCTCGATCAAAAAGAACAAAGATAAAGAAAAACATGTAGCACACCTAAACTGGATTAAGCTGGTTAACCTTTGCTCAATAAATCTTAACACTAAATCAGTTTCTCTTCAATACTGCAAATATTAGAAGAATAACAGTGACCATAGGCCACTCCATTTTCTCATCAGTGAGATGGACTTTCTAGCTAATGTAATTGTGTTTCTCAGGTTGAATTACCCCTAATACCCCTCCATCCTCAGAGCTTAGACGCTGGTCAAAAAGAAGGATGCGACCTTCCTCTTTTGTTCAAAGAAAAACACCCTGCTTCAGTCTGTCTGTCTGCATGTCTGGCTCTGCTGGCTGTGTCTCTGCTATTATTAGCAACAAGAAAAAAACACAGTAATGGCTTGGTTAACAGAGAGACGGCTACGTCACACATGGGGCCTACCTCAAAATGATTCAGCATTTCCTACCAGGCAAGGAAACTGTTTAAATGGGTAATGTCATCGCAAATACAGAACTCCATTAAATGCAATTTTCTCGCCACAGGACTCTAAGGTGCTTGTCACCAAATTCTTTTTTTTTTTGCTGCTGCTGCCACAGGTTTTTTTAGACTAATCCAATTTACACTTTCATATTTAAGTGTCTGTAAATGCTTTCTTTATTTTTAATCTCTGTCTCCCAGCCTCTGTGTCTGTATGCCTCTCTTCAGACCTCTTTGTCTGCCTGTCTGGACAAGAGCGAACTCTCTGTGAGTGGTCATTCCCAGAGGCTGCTGCAGCACAGCAGGATGCTAGCAACAGATTCCAAGGCAACAGCAGCAGCAACTCTCAAATTAACACTTTGATTCCTGGCACAGTTACTGAGATTTGTATAACTACCTGCCATTGAGTCAAATGGTAGAATCAGTCCTACCAACAATGCATTGAGAAAATGTTTGCCTGTGCGTCAGTGCAGTTAAAGACATTTTCTGGCATTTTGGGAAATAAGCTTGTTTGATATTGATTTCTTCTCTCTACATTCAAGGTCGAGCTCAGTGACATGTTTAGCCTAGCTTACTATAAGAGTGGAAGCAGGGGAGATCAGCTTTGTTAAAGTGCTTCCAAAACTCAAAAGCAAAAACTTATATTTACATGTTTTGTCTTTTGAAATGTGTAGAATAGAAAACAAGATGTTGGTTAAATGACACATTTTTGCACTATTTTCCATCTGTAAAGAAACCCCAGTTAATTAATGCTAGTTTGCTTGCTAGAAACATACAACATATAAAAAGATAATCGTGGTTGTTGGAAAGTTTTTTTCCATCTTATGGTAGAGACTGGCTGTTTTTTCCTGATAACAGTGTTTTTGATGAGCTAATCTAAACATGTCCCGCACAAAGAGGATCTTCTCATGTGATTCCCAGTAAGCAACAAACAAATGTTCTTCCCAAATTGTCATAGTATTCATTTAAATGTGCTCAGACAGAGAGCAAAGTGCATATTTGCGTGAAGTCAGTGTTTTTCCAGTCCAGTTTTTCTTTTTCCCCACACCTCTGTATGTTTATGAAGTCAATTCATAAAGGGATTAGCAGAATTATTTCAATCAATTTGAAACAGTTTCTATACCTGCAGGTGCTTCACTTCAGTTCATGACCTGGTTAACTTCACGTCTTTCTATTGACTTTACGTGCAATCATGCTGCGTCTAAAAGTCACCTTGTGTTCTGTCTGAACACATCTGAAGACTCGAGGAAGCTTTGATGAAGATTAAAAGTGAATGTGACTATCTCCTTTATTCAGGGAATCACATCTTCCTAACCTTTTTGGTTTCTATTAGTATGGTATGGGTCTTTGTGTGTTTGTGTGTGTGTGTGTGTGTGTGTGTGTGTGTGTATGTGTGTGTGTGTGTGTGTGTGTGTGTGTGTGTGTGTGTGTGTGTGTATGCAAGGTCACACACATTCATACTTTAATATGTCTGCAGAGCCAACACCTCAGTCCTGTAAGGAGGAATGGCTTTGATCCGCAGACGCTGACAAACAGATGAAATTTACAGCCTCGACCTGCTCGCTCCACAGCCTGACCACCATCACAGCCCCACACAGACACTTATCACCAGACAGAACATAAAACATGGCTCTGCCACAACAAAGTCTCGCTTATCCCTCCAGATAGCAAAGGGGAAGACATGAAAAGGAAGGATTGCCACAGTCAGTGAGGAGTGTACATGTACAGATTATATTTATTAACCACCCAATTGCACTGACCGGCCAGTCAGTATAAACTACTCCTGTCTATCCAAACATTGTTAAAACCCACAAGAGATTATTTTAAATTTTAGATACTAAATACGTCAAGTTCATTTTGGGAAAATGTGTGTAAAATGATGCAGGAAACATCTAGAATATTTCCCTTTGATGAAGTGGGGTTGCCATAAAAATAATGGACTGAGCGTTGAATATTTCACTTAATAAACGTTTTAGACCTTCAATGAAGAGTTGAACGCAATATGTGATGATGTCAGTGAAATACTAACAGATGGCGTTTCCAAGCTTAAAGCTGCATAAGGAGAAAATAGTTTGACTTAAAAGGCAGTTTGTTCTTAGGTCTTTTTATTACTGCACGTTTTACACAACACTGTGAGTGTTGTGTGCCATAATTACAGAACAACACACTTGAGGAATCAGCCAACTGCAATGTACGCTGATTGCATTGGGACTGAAGACTAAACACGCTCTGATAGCTTTCAGCTACTATAAATTTCAAATTAATCCCAGATTGGACAGAGTTTCTTATATGAGGCGATGTTTTGTACATGTAGTAGTCAGTGCTATTGTTTGTATGTTTTTATGGCCACGTAATATTTCTTGTAGTTATGAACGAGGCGCAGGGTGACTAAGGTTAGACTTAAAATAGAAAGTTGAAGCACTTTTCGAGTTTGGAGTCGAAGGGGGGGGGGGGGGGGGGGGGGTTGTTTCATAACAGCGCTTTTACAGTGACATTTCACTGAATGGCTCCCACCGCACATTCAACTTAGCAGCATTGCAGGGGTATAAATCTTTGAAGAACTGCAACCTGCGTCACGCATGCACACCCAGCACCGAGGCTGTCCCACCCAGTTGGTGGGCAAGAGGGGAGATGGGCTAATCAGAGGCAATCCACGAGGCCCAAGGTCTCAAGGTCTGGGGCTGTGTGTGTGTTTAAGTGTATGGAGCAGCAGCAGCAGGGGTAAAAAGGTCAACACACAGTACAGCAGCAAGTCATCCATCATATCTCTGTAATGCACATCTGCACTGTGGCCCAGAGAAGCAAAACATCTCCAAGAAAGAGGTCAAGGTGGCATTGCTTTTCCGCCCATATTGGTCCAAAGCGATATTAACTTTTAGTGATAAATCAAAGCAACTCAAACATTTTCCTCATCTCGTGTCTGAAAACATGAGATATCGGCTCTTGAGCATTGAACCTCACAGATGAACTGATTTGTTGACTTTTCTTTAGCTGCAGACTTTCCTGCACTTCCTGCATCATTTCAAGCCTACAAGAAAAAGAAAACTCCACTCTTAGAAATTTAAATGATTATCATCGCAGTTACTACAGGTTGATGTCCCAGTCATGCTACAGAAGAATAGCATGATAAAATGATGTACTCATGTACTGTGTACATGCTTTATTCATCCTTTTACAAATCCTATTGACTGATCATCATTAATCAGTGGTGGAAGAAGGACAAAATAGAAAAACTTACATTAAGTCATACAATAAAAGTTAATAAAAGTAAAAGTAATTCATCAGAATATACTATACTACAGAATAATATTATTTTTGGATTATAATTATCAATGCATCCATGTGTACATGTCTTCGATGTTGCATTGAATTTTTATTACTTTATCTACTGCTGGGTAAGAATTTACTGCCAGGATCAATAAATGATCATCTTTTCTTAATTTCCAATAAAACATCAAAATGTAGTTGTTGATTATATGTTGTTTATTAATCTGAATCTGCAAAGCAACAGTATAAGTATATAGTAGCAAAAAAATAAAACAACCCAGAAATACTCATGTAGAGTAACTCAAAATTGTATAAATACAGTGTCATTAATCATTAGTTACAGTGGTAATGGGATTAATGAACTCATAGATGAACTGTTGCGGGTAATGTGTGTTAAAATCGATCACATAGACTGTATGATACAGAATATTAGGCTATCTCTTACTTTCCAGTAGGGCACCCTTTCCTTTAAAGTGTGTGATGAATATAAGAAAAGAATCCACAATGAAATCATGTGCACCTCAGTAATGTCAAGTCTTTATTGATATGGTGTCATACAGCAATACATAAGTAGTAATAACAATGAAGAGAATAAGCATGTCATCTACATTCAATCCCTATGCTTTTGTAGTCATGGCAGCTCTAATAAACGCTAATAAAGAGATAATAATGATTAAACACCCCACTGAACAGAATCATACACATCACACACATGGCCAGAAAAAAAGCTGCTGGTGTTTTAAGGCATTTTATATCCTACAGTATTTGTTCTATGGCTAAATCTTGCTTCTCGGTTTTGGATGGGTGACATACTCTACCGTATTTTCAGAAGTTGCTTGCTTTTGCATGAAGTGGTGCTGCATGTGTGCTTAGAAAAGTTTGGCAGTGCTTTAAAAGTAGTAGTGACATTTTTCCTCAGACACCCATGAAAACTCTTTTGGTTTACATTGGAAAGATAAAGGCTTGACATTTGCAACCAAGAACCATTCATCCATTGTTATAGCTGTTTACTATAAAATGCTGCGTTTATTCATAAGTTCTTGTACTTCCCAGATTTTTATTCTGCTTGACACTGGAATTCAGTATTTCACAAAACAAAATACCCAACTTTCAGATTTGCTAACCCCCCCACCCAAAAAAAAATTGCAGTTATGATAGGCCACTGTGTAGAGATACAAACACACTTACTACAGTACTAAGATACTTGTCACAAGCCTCAGTTAAACAGCGGTAACCCAATCCACGACAGTCTGACATACAATCAGTAGTTTTTTTGTTTTCGTAATGTGAGTGCAGTTCGTCAGGGCACAGCTCGCCATGACCAACAGCAAGAGAACAAGATAGCTGTGCTAGAATTGGCAGTGCGCAAGCAGAAAAAACAAGCTACAAGTCTTTCATACTGAAGGTTTTCTACTGGTGAGGTCGTACTACAACAGACGTTTTATCCAGTCATGGCCACAGTTAAAACGAAAGAGGTCAAGTTGTTTCAAACACATCTTAGCCTGGCAGGTTCTCACAGAACTTGTGACGTATTTGAGTTTTGTAGGCGTGGTTTTCTTCAGGCTGAGTGATATGGTATGGATTCTGGGGCTTAAATTTGCTTCAAGCATCATCAATGGCACATGGGAAATGGAGTTAAATATGCATACAATTCATCCCACCCAGATGGATCATACAGAATCTCATGCATTTGCGCTAAAGCACAACTTACAATTCAGTCTTTAATTGACTGGCTCAGGAGAAAAAACTTCCTCTTTCTTATCATCTGAGCTGCATTTTGCCTCCTTCACAGTATGTTTGCTTAACTTCTCCTTTTCCCTGTATCCTTCATAGCACATTGTGCAAACTGTTCATCATTACCAAATTTCTCTATAAGTGCCTTACAGAGGACCTTGTCTCCTTAACTTCACATGCATCACGCATCTACAGCAGAGATCTGTAGCCCATCTCACTCCTAAGATTTATAACAGTAGTCTCAAATCTGGCCTACAGGCTATAGCAAGCACATGTCTATGACAGCTATTAATGAGTGTGCATGATGATGCTCAGCATGGTCAATGATGAAAAGGAAGGCACTGGCCAACCTTCTGAACTTTTACCGACGGGCTGATGGATTCCATGCAAGCATGACGTCTACATACTCCATGCAAATTATGCTCGATTAATACATTTGTTTTCTTGTTCGCTTAGAGTCTTCATGTCATTTAAAAAGCTATAGTAATCCACATTTGTTAATTAAACGTCATCGCGAAGTCAAAAAGGGTCAGTGCTGGCCTGAGGATCTCCATCCTCTGTTATACCGTTGTCATGCAGAGCTGATTGAACCACAGTCAAACCATTGATGCACTGACTGTGATTAGACATATTGTGTAAGAAGAGATCTAAGCAGACGCTTGTGCTTTCTCTGCACTAAGGACTATCATGTAAGGAGACTTTTATTTGTATCATATAAGTGGCTGTAGAGAGAGTAACCGATACCAGCTGAAGTGCTTTGATTGTTTCAAGTGCACACAGTAACGCTTGCACACACATGCTTCCATTGGAATGTGTTGACAGTATCTCACAGCTTGTGGTAGTAGTAGTAGTGCATGACCAGAGTTATTATCTACCATGTGTTGGTATTACATACTGTTGCTGCTACCTAAGTGCTTGTTATTGTTTGATGTTCAGTTTGTGAAAGAGAACAAGAGACAACAGATGTATTGTGGTTTTGTATAGAGTGATGGTTATAGTAGAGTTATAATGGATTTCCTTTGGGGAACACATGTGGAGGGGTTAAAGGTACAAGGAAGAATAAACCAACATAAAACAAACCCATAAACCCTGCACTCTCTTTCAGATTTCAGAAACCTTGACAATCTTACTATGCTAATAATAAGAAGGCAAAGCAGGGCTGTCATCTTAGATCCCCATGAGTGCCTCAAGTGTTAAGGCTCAAGGTTTGTTTTAGGGTGGGAGAGAGGAGAGGATTTGCAGGATAAATGGAAGGTTTAGGGGTCAAGAACAGGCTTACAGTATGCGCTTAGTTTTTCTGATTGGTGGGAACATCGTTGGAGTCTTGCTGCTTCTCCATCTTCTTAGTGGTGACCACTGTCTCCTCATAAACTTGCTGGGACACCTTGGCTCCAGATTTGCTCTGCTGCTGGTCCTCTTCCTTGCCCTCCTTCTTAGAGCTCTTGCCAGAGGTGGTGTAGATGCGGGACTGGTAGTTGTAGCCTTGCCCGATGGAGGGGCTGGGATAGGAGATGCCGGTCCCGATCCGGGTCTCCTCCCCTTCCAGGAGTTTCCTGCACACAGGATGAAATAGGGAGGATTTAGAGAGAATAATGAGGTATAGGGGTGGCGATAACATAAAAAGAACAAGGGAGAGAGTGAATTTTTCCTGAGCAGAAATATGTACTGTATAATAGTGTTTTTAAATCAGATTCTTTCACCTCCACCTTATAGATGTTATTGTAATGAACAATATGTGAGTTGTGTTTGAAAAAAGAACCTACCTGTAAGCAGCAATTTCAATATCCAGTGCCATCTTGACATTCAGCAGATCCTGGTACTCCCTCAGGTGGCGAGCCATCTCGCTCTTAGTGGTCCTCAGCTCATTCTCCAGCTCTGCCATGTTTTCCTAAGGACAGGGCTAGAGGTCAACATTTCCTAACAAATATTTTGGTTTATTTACAGAGGTGAAAAGCATAAAAAGGTCAGGCCGTCCACAGTGCAGGGGAAGAACTGCAGCACCACAAAGACCTCCTCTTATTTACCTGTGCACTGTGTAGCTGCGGATTAGAGTCTTTTATGAGAAAAATGGATTGAAATATTTGTCATATAAATATCATCTATCGGGAACGATGATTCACAAGCAGCACTTGTGTGAATGTACCCATTTAGGGTTCATACACTCAGTGGGCGTTGTCAGATGCAGCTGCTGAGCGGGCTGTCCCGGGGGAATGAGTTTCAGCACCACGGACAGAGCCCGAGCCACAGCAGCTGCTCCTGGTTTTACCATTGCTCTGACATTTATATTTACTCATAAAAAATAGGCTATTCAGTGTATTAATTTCAATGTAAATAAACTTTTATGTTACTGATTATAAATGTTGGGTTTCCGTATTAGAATCCTGTTGATATGCGCTTAATAGGTGATTAAAATGTGTTTTACCTGGTAGTTTCCAATCTCCATATTGTGCCTATCCTCCATCTCCCGGAGCTGCTTTTCCAGAGAGTCGTTGGTTCCCCTCAGACTCTCGATCTCGATGGTCTTGGACTGTAGCTGCCTCCTGAACTCGTTCGCTTCCTCCCTGCTGGCGCGGATGGCCTCGTTACTCCGGTTAGCCTGCTCCGACAGGTCCGCAAACTTGGTCTTGTACCACTCCTCGGCGGACTGCAGGTTCTTGGAAGCCATGGACTCGTACTGGCCACGGATCTCTTTGAGGGCGGAGGTGAGATCCGGCTTGGACACCTCCATCTCCACAGACACTTGGGCAGCCTGGATCATGTCCGTCAGCTCGACCACTTCCTCTTCATGCACCTTCCTGAGGAAGTTGATCTCATCCAGGAGAGATTCCACCTTCTTCTCCAGGTCCAGGCGCACCATGGTCGCATCATCCACATCTTTCTTAAAAGCCTTGAGGGTGGCCTCCGCCTCCTCGCGGGCATGGAACTCCTCTTCGTATTTTCCCCTGACTTTCTGCAGGTCGTCTTCGATATTATCCCTCTCTATAATCAGCTGGGACTTCTCACCGTTCAGTTCGTCGAGCTGGGAGCGCAGTTCGCGGATCTCTTGTTGGTAAAGCTCGGCCAGGCGGGACGGCTCGGTCTGCTTCTGGCGCAGAGCGATCAACTCCGTCTCCAGCACTTTGTTATGCTGCTCCAAGTTGCGCACTTTCTCTATGAACATTGCAAAGCGGTCATTAAGACCTTGCATTTGTTCCTTTTCGTTGGTGCGGATGATTTTGAACTCATTGTTGAGGACGCTGCTCTGTGTCAGGTCGAAGGTCTCCACTGGCATAGGCGAGAAGGAGCGGCCGGACTTTCTGCTGTATGAGCCCAGGGATGAAATGTTGCTCCGGGAGAGAGAAGAGGACCGGTAACCTCCCCGTGAGGACACGTTCATCGTTGTCCGCGATGGAGAGGACGCGTACCGGGGAGAATCGCCGAAAATCCTCCGGTAGGAAGAAGCGGAAAAGACTTCAGATCCGTAGCTCATCTTGGCTTGTATGGAGACAGAGCAGAGCAGTGGGCGCGTCCCCTTTTTATAGGGGGACCAACCCAATCACTAATTAATGCCCGCTGGTAACATCCGGACCGATCCGCTCCAGATGGGCCAGGTAGTCCACTCTTTATGCAAATATATGACAGATTAATATCGAGCTGGAGATCGATTTCAGTTGGTAACAATTAGTCTACATTAATTCTGTCATAACTCCAGATGTGCGGAGTTGGCACTGGTCTTTGTGTGGAGCAGATGGAACTGTCCTTTTTGGCGCAGTGCTGATGCGTCAGTGTTTGGTCGCTTGTTGCACATGTAGACGTCAAACAAAGAAATAATAGCCGACTGAAATCAAACCTTTACAGTAACCCTGAGCCTCGGATCCAGTGTTTCTATAACTGAGAAAACTATTGAAGAACCAGATGCTCCCCTAATAGTTCTAAACCTATTGCATAAACAGTGCACAGTGGTGATTTTAAGCAATATGATGGTGCACTTTACATCAAAACTTTTTATTGTAGCCACATAGGCTGTTTGCAACTGTAAATGGAAATAGTATCTTTATTTATGTTCTCTAAAACACTGCAGCGACACTAACCAACAAGACTTCTATCTGCAGTGTTTATGGTGACATTGGTGGACATGGTGAACTTTAAATGTCCAACAATTGTCTGCACATATTGTATATATATATATATATATATATATATATTATACATACAGCAACAAACTGCATCCCATGCACTGTGGTGGGCCTACATTTTATGAACGAGTTACTCTTAATGAGTTTACAGTAAGGGAAAGTGTAAGATCTTAAATTATGTTCAAAGTTACTCCTAGTGGTTGATAATTGGTTTTGTTTGTTGTTTGAAGACCCTTTGGAGAAACGACATCCCACTAACGGGCCTTTGCTGCCCTCTGTTGTCTGATCACTGCACACTGCAGGCAAACATTAATATTTCAGGCCTACTTGGTACTAAGTTGTTGAAGTACTTGAACTATATGAAATTATCCTAAAGTTTATGAAGACTTCTGGAGGTTTGGATGAATGTATGGATGAGCCTCTGTACACATCTGCCCACAGATGTATGGGTCAATTTCCCATGAAAGAAGCGTGTATGGGGCAACATAAAAAAATGATGTGTCATCCCTCTCAGAACATTCTGCAATACATTCAACCTTCAGTATGTCCTATTTCAGGCACACATGAGTATCATAGTTTAGTTGAGGAGCTTCAAGCGAAGAGTCCTATAATTAGTCCAAACCTTATAATTATACAGAAATTTCAGGCTGAGCCACTCGGATGCCTTTAAAAATCTATGCTGATATCAAGAAATGTCGTAAAGTCTGTGAAAAAATAAAATGATGCCCTGCAAGCCAAAGTCAACAAAGCTGTGGCAGACGAGGCACATAGTTTTATGAGGCCATTGTCAGTAGGAAACACTGTACTGTATATCCAAACCCTTCAAATGCATTTTTGACTTTATACTGTGGAAAATTAAAATCTGTTGCTGCTAAGTATTCTGAACTGAGAACCCTTTATTTCATTTTATGTTTCATTTTATGTTATTTTATCCTGCACTACAATGATTCAGCTCAGATGTTGGTCTGGGCCAAATCTTATCAAAACAGGATGTTACATTTTTGGTGAAGTAAAAAGTTTGGCAATCCCTGTCCTAACCAAAAGTATGCCATGAATGGAAGTAAAACACATTTAGTTTTTTAGTATCTTTAAAAGGTTTCAAAATATTTTTTAATCCCTTATGTAACTTACAGTGAAATCCTTTTGGACAGTGATACATTTTCTGTTGCTTTTGATCTCTACTCCAGCAGATTGTGCCTGAAATGAAACAATGACTGAGGTTAAAGCAGTGACTTTTAGCACTGAGGATGGCTGAGGTTAAATCCATGGGGTAAACAGACTCATAACCTTCCAGGTGTATAGTCCCCTTCATTTTCAAACAGTACAGAAGGACTATGTCTGTCCCTCAGGCAACAAAGCCTGTTGTAAGTTGTGTTGTACTTTTCCTTTTGGTTGCTGTTTACAGACAATGTGTGCACTGACACTATTTACTGAATAAAGCCTCAAATTAAAACTGAAAGTCAAAGTCAAACTGAAAGTCATTGGTTCATTCCAGACCTACAACAAAGACTGTCATTGTCCAAACACTTGGGCTGCACTGTAAACACTAGGGCTGCACGATATGCAAAAAAAATAATTTTGCGATTATTTTGGCAGATATTGAGATTGCGATATGTGATTGAGAATTCAGTTGGAATGGTTGTTTGAGCATTTCATTTTCACTGAGAACAAAAAATGTTGATGTGATTCTTATTGACTTTTGTACCAAACAATCATGATCCTTCACATATGGAGAATAGGATGTAGGCCAGAGCATCTCTCTAGCACCACAACACTTATGGTGCTAACAATGCAGAACAGCGATTTGGACATTGCACATGGCCATATTGTGATTTCAATTATATTTCGATGAATTGTGCAGCCCTAGTAAACACGCTCAAATGGCTTACTGTCAACAGTTTAATATACAGTGGAAAGTTACTGAGTGATTCCATTTAATACAAAGTTAAACTAGTGTACCTCATTAAAAAGTCTGAAATTTAAATCTACTCTTCCTCCATTTTTGAAAATCCAGAATCTATGAATATTGGACACGTAATGTGTATGTGTATTAGATGCTTCAGGTTGTGTAAGTTGCATGTTGGACCATACTAGTTGTAATGTCACTAAACCATCTCATACGTAGTCTACCTGTTTTAAACTTTAAGAAGAGTACAAAATACTTCCCTCATCAGCAGATGGATGTGAAAAAAGCACATTTTTGATTGTAGTGGTCTTTATTTAACAGTTGCAAATGCATGTAAGCATCAGTGGCTAACTTTGTGCAATTTTCCATTTTCCTACATAATTTAGACCTGTTATCTCAGCCTTTTGAAGTTGTACAGTATTTTTTTTCCCTTGTTGTTTACTTGCAGCAATAAATCCCAGTAATGTAACAGGATCTCAACCTGGCTGCAGTAGGTACTCATCTCACTGCTGCAGCTAATTCATTCTTGCAACAAAATAAAAGGATGCAATTCATTTAGATATTGTCTTGGACTTTGATGTAGTCACGTGTGTGTGTGCCACGACGACAGATAGTCCCGCCTCCTCATGACAGGCAGGAGTAAACACCGCCCCCTGAATGTCTCATAACAACAGCTGGTAGCAGAGAGAGAGAGAGAGAGAGAGAGAGAGAGAGAGAGAGAGATCGCTAAGCAGGGACACTCATCTGCTGCCTGGCTTTAGTGTGTACACATCCCCGCTTTGACTGCAGCTTTCTCTAAGAAAATCCACAGTAGACGTTTTTGTCAGACTTTTTAACTGCTCAAGGCGCATGCTCAGACTAACAGACGGTGCAGTTGTTGTATTCAGGAACTCAGAGGTGAGTACAGTAATGCCAGTCACAGCTAAACGCAGTGAAATCTGCCCCGGCTGTTTGTGGCTTTTGTTTTTGCATCAAAGCCAGCTAAGGCGTTAGCTTTCTTTGCCCGCACCACTTTAGGCTGTCCTTATCGTCAATGTCAGACAAAAAGAGCAGGAAATTGGCTGTTTGAGCGGACTGTTAGCTAGCTTTTACAGCTCAGCGCATTACGGGACGTTGTTTGTTTGGTAACCCCACGAACAAGGATTTTCTTTGCTGTTAGCTTGTAAAGATACTTTTACAGTAGCTTAAGCTAGGCTCTCACCGTTCACCCGTCGGTCACATTGAAGAGCCATTTATATTTACACAGCTAAAGATAATACGTAAACAGAAACGACGTCTTAAAAATGAGTGACACTTAATGCTCCGTGTAGTGTTGTTGCAACAAACATCGACCCACTCTCTCCCAAGAATGACAAAGCCTGCTGTAGAGGATGTTGGACTTCTTCTTTCGGTTGTTCTTTGCAGAGCAGTTGTGCAGGTTTTCTGAATGTTTAGCTGTGAATCTTTCCAAGCCACAGCTGCCCTTGGTCCCCACTGGACCCAGTTCACCCCGTGGGCCAAGATGTCACAAAGGCATAAGCTAAAAAAATAAAAATAGAACAAATAATAAACATGCAGCAGAATGGCTGAAAATCGGTCCCCATGCTGCTAGTTGTCTCACACAAGTCAAAGAGGGGATGTTTTTGTACCAGGCTGTGCTGGCATTACGCTGTACATCAGACAGACAAGGGTGGATCTAAGTAATTTGCATTAAATGATCCCACTGGTCTGACCTATTGTATATGTTACCCATGCCTGATCCTCTCTGAGGATGTTCACGCTGTTAATATCTGTTGTGTTGTGACAGTTAATATGTCATCACTGTCAGTGTTTGGCACAGCAGAGACATGTTTAATTAATTAAATTAATGAGTCAATAAAACATGGCAGTTTATACAAGTTCAAAGTTGTTTTGTCATCCAGGTAATCTTGTTCCTTTAATCCAAAATATTCCCATTAAAACTGATTTGAATTAAACTTCCATTTCACACTATATTAGCCACTTTTTACTGTTGTATACATTTATGTCGCAAATTGAGCCCCTCCATATGTGTTGCTTCCCTTCCCCAGACACTGAAAGTTTTTAAAGATGACCACTTCATGGAGTGACAGACTGCAGAACTATGCAGACTTGCCTGCCAACATGGACGGCCTGACAATGAAAAAGTACAGGAGAGAGCCCTACCACAGGTAAGAAACACAAGTGAAGGTTGGTAGGGAAGGACTGACACATTTCTGGTTACCTTTTCTATTTATACCCTGGTTGAGTCAGTATCTAATACTTCCTCTGTCTGTGTGTGTTTTTTTTTTAAATTTCAACCACCAATGTCACCATCACCGGGCAATTAAAAATGGGAAAAGGATCTTTCTCTTTACTTCCGCTATGTAGAGCTGAGTAATACAGAGCAAAAAGTGTGTCCAATTATTTTTTTAAACAGTAATTCAAACTTAATGTGCCTATATTTAAAGTGTCACCATTACTGCTTTCCTAAAATATTTGATCCATACTGCGGTTGGGTCATGCGGTCTGTGAAAAAGTGTAAAATCCTTAACTCTTTAGTGTTTCCACCAAGTCTCACTTCCTTAATGTCAATATAACAGTGAAATGTCACTGACCAACCTGATAACTTCATTGTAATATATTGTAGTTTATAGTTTTACTGGCATTTACTGCTTTACAATCTCTATTCCCTTTCATTATTGATACAAAGCATTCAATGGCCATTTGTCATAGGTGTATGAAATTGAATTGGGCTATAAAAGTAGATTTTTTCACATAAGGACAATCGTGTCTTGGGTGTGGTTTTCTGACTCCTCTCAGCCTCATGGCAAAATGTCACCAGACTGTTAAAGTGAGGGAGTACATGAACTTGAAGCCTGTTAAGATTTTTAAGCTTTAATATTTGCGTAAAACTGTTTTGACACTACTTCTTTATTACCTGGAAAATTGACTGGAAACTCCTTTTAGGCATTCTGGCTGATGTAAGAAGGCATTTATTTCTTCTTTGAGTAATAACACATGTGTTGTTGTTCGATGTTTAACTCTCCCCAAGTCATATGTGTCCACTGGGTACTGCTGTTCTTCCACACCATTATATAATATGCTGTGCTCAGAGGCTTTTATGAAACTGTCACTCATCTGTTAGCTCTGCATGTGCTGTGCTGACATAGGTCAGAAACACACACACGTGCAAAGATAACACAGATAGAAAGATGGTGTTGGCCTTGCATTAACGAAACATTTGTGACAGCAGTTTAAATTCACTGTGGATTCTTGGTCTATTTTATTGATTTTTTTCAAAATGTACAAGAATGTTAATGTGACCTTTTGTTCATCTCACAGACAGACAAGGACCATTCCTTCAAAGTAAGAGCTCAGCTGAAGCAATGCAGCCTGATAGAGTCCTGATAGTGGTGTATCACATAGCAGAGGGCTGGCGACTCTTCCCGGCACAGATAAACTTTGAATCACAGGGAGTCGAGTCACTGTCTACAGGAGATTAGAGTGCAGTGGAAAAAATCTGGCAGATTGTTGCACAGCTGCACTCGTAGTAAAAGTCATGAGGGATTCTCTCGAAGGTGTGGCGTGGTCCATGTGGGCTATTTGAGGCATTACTGTTATCTGTGGGACTAAAGTCGAGCCTGACTACAAGTCATCCCCACCCACCCCCGCCCACTGTCAATATGGGTGAGCTTAGGAGAGGCACAATCTTACTTATCATTTCTGGCTGTCCTTTACTACACCTCCCACAGGCATCAAATCCTAAGGTCGCATTTCAAATGACAACAGCATGACAAAATTGAAAAGATTTAGATTGAAATCCCTCACTGGAGAAGGCCGATGCCCGCTCACTACTGATAAATGTTGACAGTAAAGTAGAACATTTGTTTTGTCATTATGCTATGGAAGCAAATTAATGTCAGAATAATTTGAATTTTAGAAGCAATATTTAAATAAATAATCTGTACTGAATACTTCACGTTGAAATTTAAATACTGCTGAAATGATAGCAATGAAATATTTAAATTTTCTAGTTTTGCAGTTGCAAAAACTAGACTTTTATTCCTGAGTTCATGAATTTGGATATTTCCATGTATTTGTATGGCTGACAAATGTCACTTTCTTTAAGGCCTGACTTGTATCTGGTAGCCTGAATGTTTCAGATTGAGGTTTTCATCTTAATATTTGGTGTCTGAATTTAATCAACTTGAGTAACTTGATCAGAAAGAGTTGACCTGAGTTGAATTTTTCATCAGAATTTGAGCAAAGTGAAAATGCTTTTTGAATACTGGGCAGTTTTACTTTCTTTTTGAATTTGTGCACCCTAAATAAAGCTAAATATTTCAGTGCTGTAAGTGCTATTTAAATTTCTTAACTATTTCATGGTTATTAAATTTCACAGTCAGATATTGAATTTTCCTTTGTTGCGTCCCTGAAAAATATTCATGTAAAATAAAAGATGAAATGACAAAACCTGCTGCCCCAATGAAATTCATCCCAAAAAAGTTAAATGCAAAGTAATCGCCTAATCGATAATGAAAATAATCAGTAGTTGCAGCACTACTGGTAGTGTTTAGTGATATGAGCAGCTGTCGCTTGGGGCAGGGGCTTGCTTGATTCTACCTGACTTGTGATTGTTCTGGATGTCTTTGAGGGCCCACAAACATCACGCTGCACAACAACAGCCCTGACTGACAGCACACAACAACAGAGAATGACGCGGAATGGCCACAATCATTTTTGCAACAAGTCAGAAAATTTCTGAATGGCAAGAAAGCAAAGAGAGAGAGGGAGGGGGCGCATTGTTTGTGGGCCAGAGCTACCCTGTGTTGCTGGAGCAGGTCAGACCAACGGAGAGTCAAACTGAGATTTAATTTCGCACAGAATGCATCGCCAGTCGTCTGCTGGACAAAGATCTAAATGGGAACTAGTTCACTATGGATCTGCTGCCAGGTATTTCACAACTGACATAGAGATTGGTAAAGATGAGAAGGTCATTGTCACAGATTAATGATAAATTGCCTTGCTGAGTCAGTCAGTGTCAGACATTTGAGTTATGAGCTCATGTACCAGATTATTGTGCTGGTTGCGAGTGATGTAACTTTTTCTTTTTTTTATTTCAGTGTGACATTTTTGATTTCACTTTAGTTGATTTACATCTTATTTGTAGCACGACTAAATATTGACTCGTGTGGAAATATTTAGGAACACAGCCGCACATTCAACTCAGTCACAGATGTAGAAGATAAGGTGCGTAGATCTGTGCCAGCAGTTGAAGTTAAGCTAGCAGTGTGTGTCTGTCTTTTCTGTGGAAGCCGTGTCAGCCGGGGTATGTAAACACTGTCTATCACTGTGGCCTCTCTGGACCCCCAGTCTCCTGGCAGATTTATGAGGACAGTAGAGCTGTTTCCTGGAAGATTGTCAAGCTCAGGTTAAGTTTGTAGGGTTTTACCATCCCCAGGTATAGAGCTTTGTTAACTCCCTGTAGTTTTACCCACCACCAGAACAAAGGCCTGAAGGTGTTGAATTACTCAGATTTTAAGTTCTTGTTACCTAAGTTCATTATGCACAGTTGTGTAATCATATGGTGCCATTTAAGTTACAGTTCTCACTTAGTGACACATGATTAATTGAAACATTTTATCTAGAAGGTTGTTAGTACTGTATGTTAAGACCATAAAAAGTACAGATGTGGTAATCAGTGTGCAGATGTGATAATCAGTGTTTCACATTCACTTTATGTTCCAGTATTTTCAGATATTGTCACGACTGATGATATTTGCCACAATATCTTATCAGTTTGCTTTTCCTAAGCTACTGTAGGTTTGCTAGTCACTGAGAAGTACCACCCAAATAGTTACACATCTTTAAAAAGAAAATGCCATCATGCCAGAAGAAAAAACTTTCTAAAATACATTTTACTAGATAAAAAAGCTCTCATCTCATCTGCATCTTCCAGTAATGTATGAATGTGTAGAAAGTTCTATACAAATAGCCCCCAAAATGGCAAAATATGTTGATGTTGCTTTGCACTGGCCTGATATTGTTCAACAATATGCCAAGTGCCCTTGTAAGATAGCAGTTTCAGAAATATGTACTGGGTATTTTATTGGCATTCAGTTCTAATTTAGATTTCCACAAGCTAACCTTGTGTTAGGTATTAGTGAACACATGTCAGTGTTCTCTGAAATAGGCTCCACATTTCCCTCAAGTTCACCTTGTTCTTCATGTCTCTTGATACGTCGTGGAGTTGTCTTTTTCTCTGACAGTAAGACTAAAGTTAACCGGGGTCTTTCTTTTTCAGATGGTTGATGTTTATGTTAGAATTCTCGCAATGTAAAACTACTTTGTGCTTCAGCAACAACAAAATAGAGAATATCTTTGTCATATATTTGTTTTCTTTATTTAAAACAAAACTCTGGTGTAGCGAGAACATTGGTGAAAATGAAGCTGTTCTTTTAATGTGATGTAAATAATGACAGATAACTTAAATCTAGCATGAATTATTGTTCAATCATTGCTTTACGTGACTTCTATGTTTTTCTCATTGTTGGGTTCATACGGGTTCAACTTGCATTTTCATCCGCTCTCTGACACAGTGTGCAGTCAAACACGACATTTAATGCAGTGGTGAGTTGAAAGTGAGGTCCGGGAATCCCCAGGAGTCCCTAGAGGGGTTCCTCAGCAAAAAGGGGAATAATTTATTTTCACTATATTTCCATCCATAAGTAACACAATGACAGAATGTATGACTATGAAGCAAAAAGTCTGAACAAAGTTTTCACATTTCTTTGTGTGCTTAATTCACCTGCTGAACAGCAATATTGTGGTTCATTTTCACCTGTTTCTTCAGGCTACTGAGTAACAATACTATAACAAAGCCAGTGTTATAATAGGTCTACTCAGTATGTGAACCAGCTCAAGTAAATATTTTCTTCAGAGAATAATTCCTCCTCTCGATTCTGCTAAAATAAATGCTAATCCAATTCTTGAAGATTGTATAGAAACTAAAAAAATTATATTTTGTTTTCTCTAGAGTGTTTGTCAACAGAAGCTTGGCAATGGAGAAGATTAAGTGCTTTGGCTTCGACATGGATTACACTTTAGCAGGTAAGTTGATACACATCATCTGACTTATCACCACTCGTGCTAAAAACAAAACTGTTTCTTTATCATTGAATGTCTTTGGGGTTTCTAACTTATGACATTAACATCACTTTGGGCTCTGCACAATTTGACAGACATTTCATTGGCTAAACAATTTATAAATTCAAGACACTCAATACATTCATTAATAATTAAAATAATTGTTATTTCAGCCATATTTTCACTATGAAGGTTACATAGCAGCTCCTCAGTTTACATGGATTGTTCCTCCTGTTGTCATATTAATGATGCAGACTTATCAAAATGAGCATGTGTCACTTAAAGGATCATTTTGTAAGTTTTGCTATTGCTACATAGCCAGCATTAGCATTAACATCTTTTTACTTACCAGTCTTGCCAAGAGCCAAGAGCTTCAGTCATCGCTGCATTTACAATACGAGAGGTTATGATACACCTTCTAAGCAGTGCAACTTCTTCAGTGATTCAGTATTAGAAAGTAACAGGCTGGGCTGACCAGGCCAGAGCTAGCTGATTAGCATGCTAACTTCAGTAGAAGAAAAGAAGTAATGGAAATAGAAGCAAAACAAGAGGGTTGCTTCCCACTGTTAGAGACAACTCTTGGTGAGAAAAGTAACATTTGAAGCTGAACTCACAATATTTCTTCTAGACTGATAGGTAAACAGCTGTTAATGCTAACGCTGGCTATGAGGCAATAGCAAAACTCACAAATAGCTCCTATAATAAATTCAGACTTACTGTGTTCAGTGATAAATTATGAATGCATCCATGGAGGTGCATTGAAATGGAAAATCTGATGGGTTAATTGGAAAGAGGGGAAAAAAAGCCTTTTGTGAATGTCAGGGTGAATTTAAATATCCAAGGAATTTATTTTCTGATTCGTCACCTGTTGGAGTCTGAACAAGAAATCCTTAATTGTTGAATTTCCTTTGACTTTGTGAGTTTTATGTAGATGTTAAAGTCATATCCCATCAGCTCTATATTTACCCCCCCTCCTCGGAACTGCAGCTTGTTGTCCACAAAATATTATTTAGGTCAATGCTGGTGGCACATTGAGCACACTATAATACTCAGATAACAAAATGTTAAGCATAGCTCCCTGGTACACACAGTCAGTTGCAGAGAGATCTTCTTTTTCCTTCTGACCAGTAACTAGGCCAAAAATTTCCAGATTTTTCGTGCCACTTTGTTCTGTGACTCAGCTCCAGTTTTTGGTCTCTCCATCTCTATAAATAAATCTACCCTCACTTTGAAAAGCAGGTCACGTTTGTTTGTTGAGTTCACCAGTGATGGCTCTCTTGAGAACGGGGATCACTCTTAGTCCCTCTCTGGCTCCGTGCTCCTATCCTCGTTCAGAGGGCAGGAGATTTTACAGACGCTCAGCTGTTGACATGGCTCTCTTTATGGGCGCTCATAACCAAGTGTTAATGTTTGCTAGAAGCGTGGCTATCATGTATCGTTGGAGGGTGTTCAGCTTTTCACCACAGAAATGCTACATCAACTCCAGAGAGCAGGAAGATTCACAGAATGGCTGCTGCTTTACCACAGCACTGTGGCCGACTGCAGTCTTTGTTTTTAGAGGGTGTTGAAGACGTGCAAAATTCCTAATGCATCTGCTTTTTCAAAAATGTTCTTCCCTAGACTTACTTTCTGGACTCAACTTGGTGTGGGGAAAAATATACCGTAGTTTCTAATTGACTGGCAGGAGTCCATTTAAGTCGTATATCGGGACACCTCAAACATAGTCCCTGTCAACGGTTGTCAGTCAATGCTAATGCTTTACACTGTGTCAGTGTTTATACCCAGCATGTAGCAGTTTAACTGATGTTGAGACCAATGATACCCACCATGTTACTCAAAAGAAGTTAAGGAAAAAAAAGTTTTTCATTAATGATTTTGTTACAGGAAAATATTTGATGTCTTATTGCATCTGTCAATTTTCTGCAGTATATCTGGACATATGTAGTTTGGTTAGGTTTGGCAATATGACGATGAATATTATAAGATGATATCCAACCATCAGGGATCCCTCCATACTGTTTACAATGAGGCAGCTATCCCTTTAAAGTTCCTAAAAACGTGATTTAAGCTCCTATATAACAGTTGTAAATTTACCTTACCTTTAAAACCCCTTAAACTTCAGATTTTCTTCTGTTAGCTTAAATATTTATGACTACGTGAGCAACAATTACATTTGAATATTAGAAAAAAAATCCTTAGGTATGCTTGAGCTTGAAAACATTAGATAATGTGGGTGTTGTTGTTGCTTGACATCTGTGTGTGATGGAAGGAAGAATGTGGCCCAAGATACTGATAGTTTACTCTTGTTTTCTGTTGTGCTGTCATGCATATCTTAGAAAATTATTGATCTAAATTATTGTTATTATTATTATTATTATTATTACTTTTATTATTGCTCTTATCGATCTAAAGTCCAGGGTTTAGGCTTCTCAATTGTAAGTCCCTTATGCTTAAACACTTTCAGCCATTTCATTCACGAACGTCATACATTTGTAAGATTTTGTAAACTAAATCAACATTGCATGAGACAACATTCTTTGTACTCCTACTGGGAGCACATAATCGCCAGTTGAAAATGTTGCTCCGACACACATTTAGGCCGAGATTGCATTGAGAGCAACACATAGTTTTGTCCTAGTTTTCCAACAGACTTTTGGCTGGAATGTAGGTCCCCGAGGCTGTGCATTAGTTCTCCCGTTTTTCCACAATGTGCTTGATAGCGTCATAAATCTGTGACAAAGGCCTATATTTGCATATTAGTGGCCTCAGAAAAATTAAAACAGTTGAGGTGGTAGTTTTAATATAGGTGTTTTATGTGACATGGTTCAGATAAATTCTCTGCCTGGCACAATTTCTGTGGTTTGGATTCAGTGGTCTATTAGTAGAAGGGTGGGGGTTGTTTACCTTGTGTGTGAGGGTGTATGTTACACATAGGCCTGGGGTGAGCCGGCCTATAAACTCTGGAGAGACACCACACACCTTAGCAATTGGAGCAGTGGGAGTATAATTATGTGGCAACAATCTCATCAGGGACGCAAGGTAACGTATGCCTGAAGCTAAGGCCGTATGTTGCCTCAGTTCTAAGTAGATAACCGTGTGTGTGTGTGTGTGTGTGTGTGTGCGTGTGCGTGTGCGTGTGCGTGTGCGTGTGCGTGTGCGTGTGTGTGTGCGTGTGCGTGTATATCTGCATACTGACAGCGTGAGAAATATGAGAAAAGACTTACAGCAGGGGAGCAAGGACCCCTATAAAACAGAAATGCAGGGGAGTCAAGGAAACAGCAAGCAACAATAACACAACATCTGATGTGCACACAAATGTTGTAAATGTGAGTTTTCATGAACATCTGTTGATAATAATTGCTTTGATGTCTTATTTACTTAAACATGGGACTTTCCGTGACTGTAGCCTGTAGTGTGGCTCTCATGGAAAAACAGATCTACAAATCACTCCACTACTGCTCAAGCAGTCCGACATCTGAAATAGTGAGCGACGATCAAGATTCACGGATACACTGTAGGCCCTGGTGTCATGTGTCTGTGTGGAGGTTTTAAGGGGGGGTTTGTTTTTCAAGTTGTTCTCAATAAAGTGGTTTTAGAGTAATTAAAGTCACTTCTCTGAGAAAAAGTGAGTGAGTAAAAAAGAAAAAAGTTATTTGAAGTTATGGTCAGTGTTAGATTCAACAGTGTTTGAATGGGCTGTCATTGTATGGACAGTTTGGTTATATCACATCACAGATGATCTCTGTTTTGAAGTAGATGGAGCTCAGTTGGATTAAGGTAATGTCACACCTTTCTGTGCAGCACTGTCGATCAAATCTGATCAACAACACCCACATAGTTTCGATGAAGCATATTAAGTTTTTGAGTTTGAAAGTCTCAATAAACAATGATTTTTACTTATTTATTGTTAGGGTCATGAATATTAAATGCATATTAAAGATTATAGTAAAATAATTAAGGTGTGATACCAAGTTTTGAGGGGCTTTCAAGGCATGTTAATAAGATCATTTTAGTTTCATTTCTGACCATTGAACTCTTAATAAGCAAATCCTTACAATGTCTATCTTAAACTTTACCTTCAATTGTTGCTTATTCAGACATGAACATCTAAGGTGATAGAGAAACAGTTTAGTTTTAAAATAAAGTTTTGAGGGGTTTGAGGCTTCACTTACAGTAGTTTCATTCAGTTGAGTAGTGTAGCAGAGTAGTTAGTCTCTTAACTGTTGCCAATAAAGCCTTACAATAGTCTTATTATAATATAACAAAAGAACTTCCTGCTTGTGAATGACCAGTCTGACTCACTTTTATATAACCTAGAGGGAGACTTGATTTCATATCTCCTAAGCTGTATGTGTAGGTGGGAGCACCACACCAGGGTCCCAAGGTCACTCATGAAAAAAGCCACAGAGTGAACTAAAGAAAGAGAGAGTGATGATAGCAAAGGTGACAGAGCAGCTCTTAAAATAGGTTTCTTTGTAGTGCCTCAGAACTTCAAGAGGAAAATGACAAGTGAGCGAGAAGTAGGAGGAGGAGGAGGAGGAGGAGGAAAGGCATTTTAGTTGGTGTATGCTACTGCTCTGGGCACAGGGCCCAAACCGTCAGTTTGCTGGGAGACCACAGCCGGGGGGTGGGAGGGCGGGGGTTTGGGCAAGCTTACGTGATTATAATGTAGAAACGAGCTCAATCTTACAGAGGAGGGGTGTCAACGACAGGAGAGAGCTTTACTGAACCTGAGATTTTCCTGTATCTTGGAGCGTATTCATTATGCTCCTGTGTATAACCCAGCATTCAACTAACAACCCAGCAAGTGCACGTTCACATTTTGCAGAGTAGGACACAGATGTTTTCCTGTTTGTCCTGCAGTACTGTTCCCTCACTAGCTGTCCTCTATCCAAGCATCATCAGCCAATTTTTCTTCCCCTCCAGGGGCCTCCCACCACCCCACTGGGAGTGTAGAAAGCAGGCAACAACACAAGTGCATTCTTTGTTTCGTATTTATAACATCTGACATATTCTTTTCCCAGTGTCAAGTAGCATTTTAATCCTCTGCTAGCCTTTTCTTAGCCAAGCATCAGTCTGTGTTTTTATTTTCATAGCCCACCCTTGCCTTGGTTTTGGTTTGGCTCTGGGGTGGCAACAGGGTGGGGGGGTGGGGGGTGGCGGTGTCATCAGTGCTCATTAGAGCCGCTGCTGAAAGTTGAGCGATTTTTCATTTTCACGCCTGATCTTATTTCTTTGTGGATTTGCGTGCAGAACATAGAGGCCCTTGTTGATTGTGAGGACAGAGAAGGGCAATGTGTGTGTGTGTGTGTGTGTGTGTGTGTGTGTGTGTGTGTGTGTGTTGCTGCCAAAAGAGACAACGCCACAGAGTCTGAAGTAGATGAGATACCCTTAGAAAAGTCACATGTACATGTTGTGTAACACGAGTAAGGTCCACTGACTGTCAGATGTGTAATCACACAGAGGTTATTATCAGTTCATTGTTTTGTCTATAAAATGTCACAAATAGTGGAAGATGTCCATCACAAGTTCCCAGAGCCAAAGGTGAGGGCCGAGCAACAGTCAAAAACCCAAAGATATTCAAACTACAGAAACGTAAACCAGAGAAAAGCAGAAAAACACTCACATTTGAAAGGCTGAAATCATAGACTTTATGGCATTTTTGCTTGATGAATGACTACATAATTATTCGATGATGAAAAATAGATTAATTGTTTGATGATCAACTTATTGTGACTAACAGCAATTAACAGAATTGTTATTGTTTTATTTTCTGTCAATCAACTGATCTATTCTTTGTTTCATTGCTGTGTAGAAGCTAGATAATTAACAAACATTAACTTACAAGGCTTATAATGCCAGGACTAAAACTTCTGCACAATTGTTTTAAATGTCGAAACCAAAATCTGTCTTTTTTTTTTTTTTTTTTTTTTAGGAGATTAGACACCACACTTCCCTACAGCACCATGTGTTTGTGTGTCATCTTTATATGATCTTATATTGGCGTAAAATTTAGAACTATGTTTTTCACTTTCAGTGTACAAGTCACCAGAGTACGAGTCACTCGGCTTTGAGCTCACAGTGGAGCGTCTGGTTTCCATCGGCTACCCCCAGGAGCTGCTCAGCTTCGTATACGACCCATCCTTTCCCACCAGGTCAGACCAATCACTCCCCAGCACAGGGACACCATGATGGCCGCCAGGTTAATGGCAAACTGCTGCCTCATCTCTTCTCATTTCAAACCCTTTAACCCCCTAACCACAGTGGATATAGCGAGTATTAGTGACTGGGTGAACGAAAACACATCACCTGTTGAAAGTTCAGTTCCACTCTGAATTTATTTGGTGGGGAAAAACCTCTCTGTCTATCCTGATAAGAACTGTAATCATATCACAAATGATAGCATTTGAAATACCAGATGTTATGATCAACAGTTAGGTTGGAAAGGTTAGTTTCATTCTGTTTTGTGCACTTCAACAATCACTTCTTTCCTCCTACTTTCAGGGGCCTTGTGTTTGATACCATGTATGGAAACCTGTTGAAGGTTGATGCCTATGGTAATATCCTCGTCTGTGTCCATGGATTCAACTTCCTCCGAGGGTGAGCGATAGTAAATAGTAAATAGTGTTTGTCAACTTTCAGCTAACTTGTTTCTTTCTGACAGTGTCTACATTAAGATTTTGTCTTGTTTGTTATCTTTTCTCAGCCCCGAGATCCGTGAACGGTACCCAAACAAGTTTATCCAGAGAGATGATACAGAGCGTTTTTATATCCTTAACACACTCTTCAACCTGCCAGGTAAGGTCTCTACACACACAGGCGAACTCCATGGGACTGTTACGGAGAAATTAAATAAATAAGAACGGTATTTTTATATTTTTGATCAAGACACAATATCACTTGACAGCTTGTTTGCTTTTCTTCACAGAGACCTACCTCTTTGCCTGCCTAGTGGATTTCTTCTCCAACTGTGACAGATACACAAGGTAAAGTCTCTTAGTTGCATTATCTGTCATACAACAAGTTTCTGGACACCGCATGGTGACACAAAGACAGTTGCAAGCCAAACTGGGTCAAGAGCAAGCCCTACAGCATGGAAGGGCGCAGGTGTCTCAGCTGCTAATCTCAGCTAATCTTTTTTAAAATGGAAATTAAATGGCAGTTCAGTTGGAGAACCTGTCTGAACCTGTTTTCATTTTCTGTAACAATGATTAATTCATCTCTGCCACTACTAATTGTAGAAAAGCATGGATTCTTATTTACTACTATTTACAGAGAATGAAATCTTGATATAACTAAGAAATAAGAAATAATCTTTTAAATGTAAATGTAAGGAGATATAATAATGGCCTGTAAATTTGTTGAGAATGTAATCTGGAATGGCTGCATGTCCTTTGTCCTCTGAAACCTGGTTGTTGGTCTTTTAGGGGGAGAATGCTTTCCTGTTTGGCTGGGGACCCCTCCAACAAGGGAAGGCTATCCCATTTAAAAGCAAACAAAAAACAAATGTCATGTTTTTGAAAACCTTCTGTAAAGATGTGGCCTGTGCGACGGCTGTGTACGTGTGTGTCTTTGCTCCTCTCCTCCAGCTGTGAAACTGGCTTCAAAGATGGCGACCTCTTCATGTCCTATAAGAGCATGTTCCAGGATGTTCGCGACGCTGTTGACTGGGTCCACTTCAAGGTAAGACACTTTTGATGGTGTCAGCTGTTAAGCTGACGTTTCATGTGCCTCACGTGGGCGCTGCACAATATGATCACAGTCGGTTTGTGCTCTTCCTGGACGTGATTATGATCTGTGCTCATGGAAATCTGCTCTGAAGTTTGTTTTTTTATCTGATATTTCTCGTACAAGTAGAAGTTGTTAAGGTCGCTTTCACACCTGTAGTTCGGTTCACTTAGTCCAGATCAAGGAAAAATTATACATCTCAATTCTGGTTTGGTTTATGTTCACACTGACTTTTAACAAACTAACCAAGAGTAAACTAATGTTGTTTATAAGCACTGACAGGTAACGCATAGATTTTTGAAGTTTGTAATGTCGTCCTGCATCATCAGCGCTACATGAACCCACAGAAATATTTGATCATTAGCCTTATTAGTAAAGACTGCATCAGAGCTCATATCATAGTATATCTTAAATAGTAATGAACAGATTGTAACATAATGAGAACAGTTACTATGTTTCACTTATTCTTCGCCCCTTTTTTTGTGAAACTGCTAAAATACAAAGAGTAGGACACAAGCTCAACACGCCTCTGGTTTATCACCTTCTCACTTTCTGATACATCAGGGAAATCCCCACACTCATGTGTTAATGAGTATTACTATGGTGCTCAAAGGATTGTGTATATGAAGTTATACAGTACATTGCTTACAGACTTCAGATCAGGAGATCGCTTTCTGAAAGGTTGATGATCAGGAGATGGGCCTATAATAATTTAAATTTAAAATCACATCTACTACTACAGAACACTTTTGGAAGCATTTTTCATCTGAACCAGAGTTTGACTGAAAACTCTCCCATGATCAAAACAAATTCAACTAAGTGGGCAAACACACCAGAGTTCAAGTGAAACAAACCAAACAGAGAAAGCACACAAGGATTTATATCCTTGAACAACGGGTGATCACAGCTTACCAGGATAATATCAAGACTGCTTGTCATGTTACATGGGTCAGAGGAGAAGCTAACCGGATGTTGACAACAGACCAAAGGTCAGGGAGTCACTGAGATTATAAACAGTTGTCCTCTGGGGTGAATAATATCCATCATACTCAAAACATCTGTGGTGGCGTACGTTTTTGCTGTCAGGCCCATAGAATCAAAGAGCAGGAGTTTGGGGACGTCCTGCTGGACTAGTGGTTGGGATACTAAAGCTACTGTGGGCAAGACATTCCCAGTTTGAGTCTGTACAGGGACTTTTTTTGGCAATGCATAAAAAGATGTGTTTAGAGTTTTGTTTTTATATCAACTGAAAAAGATGTCGGTTTGATATCACTGCTGTTATCACTACTGCCGTCTCATTTTGCACATCCTGTGGAAACCTCAACTAAATGCCACAAGTTCCCATCTGTTGTGCGGGGGCGGTTGCTGGTAGTTGCTCCCTTAACTGTTCCTGAATGGATGGATTTGTTTTTATGCCTCTATAAGAATGTAATATTTTTATGTAAACATTTAAAGGTGGATTTTCAGTGTTAAGTCTGATTCCTGCGTCTCACATTGCAGGGTACCCTGAAGGAGAAGACGGTTGAGAACTTGGAGAAGTATGTAGTGAAAGATGTAAGTAGTTAGTATTCATCGAGAACGGCACAAGTGTACTCTGTTAGAGAATACAAACACACACACACACATGCACGCACACACACACGCACGCACACACAGTATCACATTCTTGTACTCTGTGAAGAGGCTGGATTTGAAAAGATGCCTTGAGCTTCGGTCTTTTCTTCTTCTCCGTTCCCACCAGGGGAAGCTGCCTCTTCTCCTCAGCCGAATGAATGAGGTGGCCAAGGTTTTCTTGGCTACCAACAGTGACTACAAATACACTGATGTGAGTATACAGTATGTGTGTGGTTGTGGTAGAAACTTCACTCTTTAGGGACAAACACTAATTAGGTGATTCAAAAAACTGCAGTAGTAAGTCAGATGATCATGAGTTCATCCTGAGATCCATTTTGTAGATTTTCTCGCAGACTGTTGGCAGCACTAACAGCTGTTATTTAAAACACTGCTGCGTTTGAACTGTCGGTCTGTGTGCTGTGTTCCCACAGAAAATCATGACCTACCTGTTCGACTTTCCGCATGGCCCCAAGGTAAAATATTACTTTTTTACCCCTTCCCTTTGATCACACTTTAAAATTGGGTCGAATATGTAGGTGAAGGTGAAAGACGTGTTTCATATGTATAACTTTGTGCTTGTGTGTGTGTGTGTGTGTGTGTGTGTGTGTGCGTGTGCGAACCCACCACAGCCTGGTACCTCCCACAGACCCTGGCAGTCCTACTTTGATCTGATCCTGGTGGATGCCAGGAAGCCGCTGTTCTTCGGGGAGGGTACAGTGCTCAGACAAGTCGACACGGTGAGCAAACGCAGAACACACAGCTGGGACAGGGAGGTTATCACTAATAGCTGCATTGCATGCAAACACTGACTGACATATCCAGACATGTTGCAGCCCAGTCGTGTGTTCGCTTTTTAACCTGATGACATTCTCCTCATATGTGCATTTATATGTAAGCATCCGGAAGAATCAATTAGTACATGTGCAGAAGGTGACCAAATATGACAAATTCAGTAATGTCAGATCAGGATTGGCCATTGACTCTTGAATTACATGGTCTGTAACTTTTTTGTTCATATTTTCTTCATGTTTTAAGACACCTTTTGTAATAAATTGACTGGTTTTTGCTGCATAGTCGTGGACATAGATTTTGAGAACATCCACTTCTGATTCAGTTCAGAGTGAAAACATTTACATTAACTCATTTGGCACACAACAATTTTATCCCGAGCAACTTACAAGTGAGGGACATCACTAAAGCTTCAGTGCAGTAGGAGACCTTGATGTGAGCACTAAGTACTACATCTATTCAATGAGTGCAAAGAGATCAGGTAAAGTAGTGCACCGAAAGTGCGTAGTAAGTGATAGTTTCACATGTTAGGGTGTTAGAGGTGCGAGGAGAGGAGGTGTTGTTGGAAGAGATGAGTCTTCAAGAGATTCTTGAAGATAGAGAGGGACGCCTCTGCTCTGATAGCATTCAGTAGCTTGTTCCACCGTCGGGGAACTACAAAAGGTGTAGTCGTTCCTCCTTTTCAAACTGGCCCTGAAGACATACTCTCCCAAATTAATTTAACTGTAAGTGATTGGAGACAAAACACTCAGAACATTGCAAAGTTCATGAAGTTACAATGAGGCTTCAGAAGTTTGTGTTTGACAAATCAAGTTAAAGATTATGTTCTAGCATATGGCTTCATTCATGTTCATAAAACTGACCCTGTTAGTGCTTCTGCCAAGAATCCTCTCACTAATTTGTCATATGATTTCTTCATTTCAGACAACAGGGCGTCTAAAGATAGGAACCTACACAGGACCTCTGCAGCATGGGATAGTCTACTCAGGAGGTAGGACTACATTTTCTTTCAGTCGCTCAGTCTAGTAGTGATCAGTTGTCTGTAGCAGTTGTGATTGTTGTTTAGGTTCGTCAGACATCGTGTGCGACCTGCTGGGGGCCAAGGGGAAGGACATAGTGTACATAGGGGATCATATCTTTGGAGACATTCTCAAGTCCAAGAAACGTCAAGGCTGGAGGACGTTCCTGGTCATACCTGAGCTGGCCCAGGAGCTGCACGTGTGGACCGACAAGAGCTGTGAGACAAACACATAAGCACAGACCCGCACACACCGTCACATGTGGAAATACCAGTTTGACTGTATGTACATTTCATTTCTCGTATGTATGTAGTCACATTCCGATTTTTCCAAGTATTGCAGTGCATTAGAAAACAGTCTCAGCAGGGACTTGACCTAGAACAGCAGCTGTAGTGTCAAACTTGCAAGTTTCAGAAAAAACAAGTGAGTTCTACATAAGTTACATTTGATAAAGATCATATAATCAGCAGGTACAAAGTCTAAACTCAGACTATGGGTAGTCACATTCTCACTCACTCTGCACATATTCACAGAATCATGCTCATTTATACTGGAGCTAACTAAAGCTGGAAGACGACATGCACGATAAATCTTGCACATAAGTAATAGTTGTAGTAAGACTTACCCTCTTCTCTTGTTTTCCAGCATTATTCGAAGAACTGCAGGGTTTGGACATTTTCTTGGCTGAACTCTACAAGTAAGAACTGTGACCTTTAGCCTCTTTTTTTCCCCTCCCTTCACCATATCCGACCCCATTACTCATCAGCATCTCTTACACCAGTTCTGCTACTGTTTGCTCGCTGCAGTAACAGCTTCTGCTTGCACGCATGTGAGCGCATGTCTGAGAGAGGACAACGGGGTCAATGGGGTAAAGTCTAAAGGGACTGCTGATAACCGGATTCACTGATGTTATTTATAGCCTGGCACTATTCGCCGTTGCACCACCTCTTTGACACATTACCTTTCAGCGGACTGATATCAATTCCATCCCCCTCCCCCACCCTCTCTCTTGACTTCATCTTTCTCTCCCGTCCTTCCTCAGACATCTGGACAGCAGCAGTAATGAGAGGCCAGACATCAGCACTATTCAGAGAAGAGTCAAGGTACGGCCTTAATCACCTCTGTTTCTATGACGACAGGGGACCTGACATGCTTTTAACACTGACTGTCAAAGATGGCCGAGTTATCAGTGCCCACATTTGCATTGTGTCTACTATAGTCAAGATATACTGTGATTGTTCTCTCGGTTGCAATGAACAACCACACCAACGGCTCTGATAAAGGTTCTATAATGTTCAGGGTGAAGCTGGTAAATCCTTTTAAATGTGGGTAAACATGCATCATCTCCTCTTTCGTCATGGTGTTGCAGGCTCACCAGTGTCTTCTCTTCTCCCTCTTGCCCTTTAGAAAGTGACACATGACATGGACATGTGCTACGGCATGATGGGTAGCCTTTTCCGCAGCGGCTCCAGACAGACCCTGTTTGCCTCCCAAGTGATGCGTTACGCCGACCTGTACGCAGCCTCCTTCATCAACCTGCTGTACTACCCCTTCAGCTACCTCTTCAGAGCTGCACACGTACTGGTGAGTATCCGAGTGTAAAGCGAAGTCGTTAAATGAAACCACACACTCTCAAAGGTTAGCGCTAATACCACGACTTCACTTCACTGATACAGATACGAAAGTCTTGTCTTGTACCAATTAAGATTCTGAATCTTTACAAGACTTTTGGAATCTGTTGATATTTCCCTCAAGTTATTTGTCTTACTGTCTAACTATTTTATCTCAAGTGATAGGTCTAACATGAGTCTCGTTATTTATCCTTTACTGCCTAAAGGCTGATAGCGTTGGAGTAATTCCCCAGTATCCAACTTTATCTCAGCAGCATTACGCTCTCAGATTCTGTAATGCTTGTCCGCCCTCCTCCTTTACCCATCTCTTCCACCTGTTTGACGGAGATGAAGACCACAAGGCTCCTCATCTCTGTTTGAGACTAGAACCACTAACAAAATACACCCGAATCTATAACCAAGTTGCATTGTGGATAATGTAGGCACCAAAAGACAAAAAAAAAAAAATCTCTGGTTCTGCTGCATCAATTTTGATTCTTCGAAAAACTATCCATCGTGTGTTTGACAGTGTTTTAGGAGTGCAATGCTAAGTTGGCAGAGGCTTCTTTTAAAGGAGATAAAAACAGTATTTAGATGTTTTCCATCTGGGACTGAGGGGGAGGGATACTAACTTTTTAAGGAAACAGAGACGACTGTATTCACTTAGGTGAATTTAAGTTCCTCTGCGTTTTGTGATTGTGTGATGATGTTAACATTTTGTTGCAAAACATATTTATATGTTGGAGGTGTAGCATTCATTAGAGGCCGGCCATCTGTCTCTAGTTCTCTTGGATAACTGACCAACATGGATATGTTGTTCTCTGACTAAATCTCTGTTTCAAAACGTTCTGCTTGAATAAAAAGCAGGCTCTTCCAGTAAGGCCGTTAGCATTGCCAAGTTGTAGTTTTCTCACGTTTAGTCTTTTTTTCTGCCACAGATGCCCCACGAGTCGACCGTTGAACACACCCATGTGGACATCGACACAGAGTCACCGCTGGCGACGCGCAACCGCACCCAATGCAGCGACTGCAAAGACCTGGAGTGTAAACGCAACCAGCTGACTCGCTCCTTCAGCGAGATCAAACCTCCCAACCTGTTCCCCCAGACTCCCCAAGAGATCACTCACTGCCATGATGAGGATGATGATGAGGAGGAGGAGGAGGAGGAGGAGGAGGAAGAGGAGGAAGAGGAAGAGGAGTAAGAGGAGTAAGAGGAGTAAGGTGGACATGGAGAGGAGAGCCACGTTCCTGCTCCTGCTTTCTTATGTTTCCCAGTAGAGTTGGGTAGTGATCTCTCTCAACGTGAGGCAGGGAGGAAAAACATCTCCAGTGTGTGTGTGTGTGTATATATATCAATTCTGTATGCACACAAACACACACACACACATATACTGGAGATTTCTGAGGAAAGTTTAAAGGACCAGTAGCGAGACAGATCATGTGACTGTCAGAAGACTGAGGGTCCTCAAAATCCAACCTTTCCTAGCTTCATTATAAAAAAAAGAAAAAAAAACACTTAATAGTTTTAATTGATTTGATTTCTGTATTATTTTTCCCATCAGACAGACAGATCACACACTCGAGTAAACATCACACTTTATTTTTCATTATGTTTTATAAGCTGTTTTTTAAGACCTGCTGGTGGAGTAAACATGTCAGATATGGTCAGTAAACTATGGTTTAAATCATAACACACTAGCCTTGCTGACACAGTATGCACATTGTAATGAAACAAGAAAACAGTTTTCAGTTATGGTGTTGAAAAAAGATGCACATCCTGTATCAAAACAGACATTTTTTTTTATGCAACATGGGAACAACATTCAGTTTTTCATCTGTTTTGTTTCTTTTTGTCGTCATTTTTAGAGGAGTCATTTGCTCTCACTTGTGTGTAAGGGTGTGCGTGTGTCTGTGTGTATCTGCCGAAGTAGACTCACTCAGACTGTAGCATCCTGAGTGACAGCAGGCTAAGGATCCATTGTACTAAACTGAAGCACAGGAGCACTGAAGCACAAGCCGGCGTTAAAGCGATTGATAACCAGATGCAGTTTTTGTTTGAAGTTTGTTTGAGAGAACATGTGGTACACAAGTGGCTGTTGGAGTGATATTTTGTTACCAAGCAACAATGACGACAGAGTACTGTAACCATGTTTTATACCAATAGTCTCTATGACAACCCTGAGCTACAGTCGTGTTTCTGTAAATAGCCATCAGGTGAATGTTTTTTGCCATGTAACTAGTTCAAGGTTTAAGCCACGAGCAGCTAACATGCAGTATTTTCTCAGCTTGGTTATTTAGGAAGGTGAAACTTGAGCATTGTATTTGACTATTTCAGAGGGTTTTATTATGATAGGGGGATATAAAATGCGAGACAGTTTTAACTAGTTGGAGCAACTTAAAGATGTGTGATGTGATTTTTTTTTTTTTTTTTTGTCAAGTGTGCAACAGGCACGTGAGAGTGGCCTCCGTATGCAAGGGAGTGAGGATTAAGATGTGCAGTATGAAGCTCAGTTCAGTCGGTCTACCTGGCTTCAGACTGTTATTAGCTTGCTTTGTGTATCTCATTGGTTTAGGGGCTTTGTTGGGCCTTTTCTTTTGTTTTTCCTTTCTTAATCCGCTGACCCACAACTGTAGGTGTTTTCCTCGGGGGTGGGTGGCATGTTGAGGCAGAGTGTGGGGCTGAGTGCATACTGTAATGTTCTGTTGCACCTCTAAACACTGTCATATGACCATTTCATAGTAGTGTTTGTTCTAGTTTGTTACTGACCTGGATGAAAATCTCTGAGTTCAAGCACTTGTCTTTTCATTTTCTCTGAACTTTACAACAAAGGATGAGCTAAGCTTATGGAACTTAAAGGCCTTAAAAACTTCAAATGTTAAGTATTTTTTTATAACATTAAATATTCATGAATAAAAAAAAGCAACAACAAAGTAAAAGAAAAGAAAGGTTAGGCATTATTTATTAAAAGTTTAACTCTCAGCAACTCATTGTATCTGCCCCATCAGCACTGTGTGGCTGTGGTTTGATTTCACTGACAGTAAGTGCATTTCCACCCATGTGTTTTCATGCACATTTTCAATATGCACAAAAAAAATTTGAGTGGAAACACCAGAAATTATAAAAAAAAAAAAAAAAAAGTCCAAATATTCTAAAAAGTTTTTGCACTTAGCTGCAGTAACATAGTTGGTACACTGATAGCAAAAACAAGTGCAACAAAGTGTCATTAAATAAATTATGAAGAACATGAAACAAGTGACTTAAACAAAGTGTTAATAAGTGTGGAGATGAGGAGACTGTAACCTTCCTCACGTTAATACACAAAACAGACACAAACACCATTTTTCCATCACGTCTTCCACATCATTTTATTCATTTCAGACTCACCCTGTCCGCAGTGCGACTGTAGAAGAAGTTCTGCTGAGGTTTAACGGCACCGACTGTTCTCAATCTCAATGAGCCAACTCCCTGAGAGTCACGACAGTAGTGGATGGAAAATGCACAGAAAGTTTATTTTGGAACTTTGTTGAAATTTGTGCTAAATTTAGATGAAAACTTGGTATGTGACCAAACAACCCAGCGACTGTCACCAGGTTTGCATTCAAATGTTGCTAAATTCCTGATCCTGGTGCAAGAAAATATGTGACATCACCTTCTTTTTCAACTGAGCCCTGCCCACTTCAAACTGGTGAGAGTAGAGAAGTAGAGAAAAGAAACTCCGTCATCTCTCATGTGAAATAACCAGAGGTGGTGTTCATGTAGGAGTCTATCACTCATGGTGAGAAGCTGATGGAGACAGTAGGTTTTCGGGGCAGTTAACCCAGACACAGCATGACTGGTGAGTCCATGTGTCCAAATGCTTCAGAGTTAGTATTTCAAACATGGTGACTTGATCTTTTTTCCTCTTCTTTTGTCTATTCGAACACCCAGTGTATCCTGTACGTTAACTTTCCTCATCTTTTATATTAAGTCTCGACATGTCTCAGTCGTGTAAGATCTGGCCTCTCCATTTAGGCCTCAAAAGGGAAAGAACGTGCTGTCTACTTGTTGGTTTGGGTTGATATGGAGTGGTGAGAGGTGAATGTGTTTAACTGCAACTTTATGTAACGGTTCAGTGGATAAAACCTTGTAGGACAATAAGAAACAGCTGTTTATCTTTTTTTTCCCCACTTTTTTTTTTTTTTTTTTTTTTACAAATGAAATATTTGTATTCTCAGTTTTGACTTTTGTTCCTTGAACATGGAATAACACGATATGCTACATGAGGCAGCTGCATTGCTAATAAGACGTAGTCGACTGTCTTTCTTTGCATAATTTGCATATGCATGTGAAAATAAGAAGCATATCCGTTCTGACATGGTGGTTATGGTAGCATTGGTTTTACTTCTATGTGGTTTTTAAGACAAGCTTTTTTTGGCATTTATCATTGTAGTTTTACACAGGGAGAAAAAAAAACTGTAAACCTGTATAAAATACAATGAAGGGAAATGTGAATAGCATGTTAAGTACCGTAACTGAAATGTTACTTGTAATCAACACCATGGGGTTATTTTTATTTTTCTAAGCTAGTGTTTTTAAATGGTCTTGGTTTACAGAACTGTAAATAGACCTTTCCATTTCCTTTTCTTACCATTTTTTTTTTTTCCAAATAACATTTTTTTTTTGTTTATTTTTATACTGTACCACAGGAGGCTGTTGCTCAGACTTTGAACTAACTAAAGCCTTGTGAACAGTTACAGTGCTTTAGAAGATTTTTATCCATTGTTGTGATGCGCAGAATGCATCCACATTAACAGCAGGTGCCAAAACAGACACCTTTCATTTTCTAATCTATAGTAATCCTCTGTTTTTATGCATATCAATTTATGTTCTCCTGAGCAGTGTTTTGTTGTTTGTTTCCAGAAATTACCCTACAGACTGTACATTGAGGTAAAATACATAAAAATGTAGAATAAAGATAGTTTTTCATAATTTTGTTGTACTTCTTTTGTTCATATTTTGCTATCATGGATCAAGGAACATGTGCGATATGCTGAAGTTATCTTGACCGGACAAAAAGTCAAAGACAGAGACGCTGTGATACTTGCGTGATAAAGGTATTGTTTTCATTGTCCTGACACTTATGTAATGTCTGGCAGCAGACACCAGCATCTCATGGTGGCTCACAGACATGCCATGTTCAAGGACAGTGATGACAAATCATTATAACTTACCTACCAGCGGGCAAGTCATTAGCACAGGACATTTATTATACTAGTGGAGATCCCAAAGTTTCAAAGACACCAAATCAAGCTGTTGTAGTACTTACACCAAGGTCTCCTACTGCACTGAAGCCTCAGTGTTCTCCCTCACTTGGAAGTTGCTTTGGGTAAAAGTGTCAGGGGGTTGAATAATTAATTCACAGTAAACATATACTGTACCCTCAATGACGAGATGGAACAATGTGACTTTATTTACGAAAACCCCTGAGTGTACTGAATCGAATATGCTTGTTTTCTATTTCGAGGTACAATGTGTTATTTCGTCTTTCTAAAGTTACATTGGGCCACTGTAGAGTTTAAGTGCTACAACACTATGGACTGCAGTTTTAAAAAGTTAAGTAAACATCCTCCTGGGCTCCTACTGGGTCTATCATAACAACAATAATAATATAGTAATTATGTTATTATGTAATTATTTGTGACACACATGGCACACTACCAGGAGGGTGAGTGTGCTGCAGCAATATTTCCTGACTCAGCATTTTGCCTGGTATGCAGCGATTTTTATATTGTTAAAATATGTGGTGGATTAAAATATGTTATTATGCAATAATAATAACACAAAAATATTTTATTTAAAAAGTGACAATTATGGGAAAACATAGTGTAATGGATGCACAAGTAGAGTCAAAAAGTCACAGTAACACTTATCCAACATGGACTAACATTAGTAGCCATTAGCTGCTGGTCATACCAGACCAAGTAATGCTGTAGCAATAAAACCCCTGAGTGTATTGAACTGAGTGAGGCAGTTTTCTGTTTTCTTATGAACTCAGCTTTGAATTTGTAAAAGGAAGATTGTGTTATTTCTTCATTGAAAAGTTACAGTGTCACTTTAATTACTGTATTTAGTAACTGTATATTTTTATTAAAGCGTAGGAAGAGCCTCATTAGAAAGCATGAAGAAGCAGAAGAGCTTTAGATTGAGTACACTGAGCCACCACCTGTCTTGTCTGTTAATCATTCACTTTTTTATTAAACCACCAGCTGGAGGAGGCAATGGGAATGTTGTCTTCAGGTAGAAGAAGCATTATGGACAGCACACAGGTACAGTAGCAGCATCAGGGTTGACAAAAGACCAGTTAAACACAGGCTTGCAAAGCATTCACATAATTGAATCGTTCAGCGGATGATGGAGTGTGTGTGTGAGAGAGAGAAAGACAGGATGTGTGTGTTCTGTATCACAGAATATTAAAATAATTCAGTCACAGCTGATGCTTCCCCCAGTGTTTTCTATTGTGCGTTTAGACTTTTGAATTGTCGCCTTGCTTCTTGCTCTCCTGTCAGGCACTGAGATCCACTGGCTTGTGAAGCATAGAGTATGAATGTCACAAGCACAGTCTTACAATCTGATCATCATCATTCATTGCTTCATCTCTGGAGTGATTGTCCCTGCAGAGCAGAGCGGGGCCAGCTGCATAGGAGCACTTTCAAGTAAACAATAAACAACAGCAAACACAGCTGCAAACAATGCAGACGTACTCTACGTCTGTTATACAACAGGGACGCCCCTCGTGGCTGAACAGATGCTGAACAGGGCTGTGTGTCCGTGTGTGTTTCCAGAGACCGTCACACACACAGAGACAGTGAGTTACATGAGGAAACAGCGACCACCAGTGGTTACAAACTGCAACTGAATGTTAACAGAAAGATTCAGCTTTAGGACACTTTTATGTTGCCTGTAAAGTGGCAAACTGCCAGCATACAGTACATATCATGTTAATGAACAGGCCTGGAAGTGGAATCAAAATAACTTTATAGTTAGAGAGTTAAAATCTACACCCCCAATAGGAATGAAGTAAACAGAAGTATTCTAGTCTAAGATTCATGTAGCTTTAGGAAAAATTTCAAGCACACATACAGTATCGTAAAACTCATTCCTGTCTTTATGAGGTAAAATAATAAAATAATAAGGTCAAGAAAGTACTAGAGAAAAATCCAAAGAATAGTTCAACATTTTGGGAAATAAGCTTACTCTTTTTTTTTTTTTTTTTCCTTTTTTCTTTTTTTTGTTTTGCTGAGAGTTAGATCGATACCACTGTCACGTCTGTACGCTAAATATGAAGCTGGAGCCAGGAGACGTTATCTTAGCTTAGCATTAAGACTGGAAAAACAGGGAAAACAGCTAGCCAGGCTCAGTCCAAAGTTTAAAAAAAGACACAAAAAAAAACAACTTAACAATTGGTAAAGAAATAGTCCAGCATTAAACCAACTGTAAAAATCACAACTTGACTTTTTTACACTTTGAATTTGTATGAAATAAAAAAAAACAAGATGAAACATGCTAATTAATGTACATGCAAAAACGCTAGGTTGTAGTTTTACAGGAGTTCATGTTCTGGACTTATTCTTTGAGAAGAATAGTTTAGTCGATCTGTATTAACTCAAGAATTATTAAACACAGGTTACAGTCTACATTATGTGGGAAGCCAAAACAAGTAAAGTCTAGTCTCTTTAATATTCACTGCTGTCAGAAAATAGCCTTTAAGAACTGAGCGACCAGGCTATGCTCTGAAGACACACACATGCAAGTAACAAACATGAAAAAAAAAACAAAAAAAAAAAAAACAAAACACATTCACACACATAAACAGTGGAAAAGCATAGCTGTGTATCATTCATGGACATGTTTAATGTCGAGGTTGCTTTTTGTGACGTTGATGATGCTCAACATGTTAGATGAGGTCATTAATACTGTGCAATTATCAAGTTTGATTATGCGTAAAATTGGCAAAAAAAAACAAACAAACCCCTCCCCACCCCCAACCCCACACACTGTTAGGCATCATAACTCCCATATGAACATATACTAGTTTGAGGTCAAAGGATGCAAAAAAACATGAAAGAGACAAAGAGAAAACAGAGACTGACTAAAGACAATTTTGCTTGTGGATGGCTGCAGTTAAGCATTTTTTCAAAAACAAATATACATATACATACAGTACTTACATACAAATATATCTGTCAATTTATAATACAGTGATTTTTTTTATTCATAATCATCTCTTAAATAAATTGCTCTCATTGCACTTTGTTAAAATAATTAATTATATGATTTCTCTTAAAGGCAATAGTGTGATTTTTTTAAAGGTGAAAAAGATAGTGTACCATAAGCCTGATTTAGGATAATAGTAAAAATAAGAAGATCTGTAATATACATACTGTATCTGTAAAAGACCCTCACCTCCTCATATACATGAATGGATGTTCATCTCCATATATGTAGCATGTCCTTTTTGATATGACACGTGTGCCCCACGCACACCTCTGTGTTTATGCTCGTGCATGCTCGTATGCCAGTTTATGTCATATCATGTCTCCACGCATACATATATACATACAATATTATAAAATAAATAAATACAGGAAAACATTCTTGGTTCGTGGTTTAACGGTTTATTTCAAAGCGGTTTTTGGTGCAGTCTTTGACTAACCGTTGCTCTCTGCGTGTTTGGGTTTGAGTCCTCGCTGATGGGATCAACAGTCGACTGAGCCTCCCTGAAAGATGCACAGGTGGGTAAGTTGCATTTCTATGTGTGTGTGTGTGTGTGTAGGGGAATGTGAGCGTGTTCGAGTATGTGTGCAAAAACAGTCTGTGTCCAGTGTAAGAAAGGTTGGGACCAAAGTCTTTGGCCTGAGGAGAAAGTACAGCGAATGTTGTGTTATGCTGTGAGTGTGTGTGTGTGTGTGTTTGTAGGGTAAAGGGGCGGGGTTTGCATGACTCCGTTGTCCTCTCGTCCAAGTCACCGCTATGAAAGTGTCAGATTGTCCCAAAAAAGAAGCTCAGTCACAGGTTCTGTCCGAGTGCAGCCTCTGTAAGAGGATGTAGTACAGCAGGGATTCTGACAGCGTTCAGGTGGGGGGCGTTCAGGGTGACGCAGCACCCGTCTTCCCCACTGCCCCTTCATGAAAGGGTCTCACTTACTGACTGACTGGGGGCTACTGGTTGGAGCAGAACCCTCACTCCACCCGCCTCCACTTCCCCACTTTCCCTCATCTCCATCTATGCCACCGCTCCGTGTGTGTCCACGAGACAGGGTGGAGGGTCTGGGTCTCCACCGGGCTCGGTGGGGGCTAGATGGGTCCCTCGTTGTGGGCGCTGTGGTTGCTCCTGCTGAGGCCCACACAGTTCTGCTGCTGGTTGAGCAGGTGGGACGTCTCGTTGGCCACAGCTATGGCCACGGCAGGGGTGGTGCTAGTGGTGCTGGCTGTGGTGGTGACGACTGCTGGGGTCTCCACTCCATCGTGGAGCTCCGTCAGCGTGAGCTCGATCTTAGTGAACTCACTGTCTGTGGATTGGGGTGTCTTGTCCATCCGTGACGCCATCACGGCGTTCTGGTACTGTTGACGTGTTACCTAGGAAACAGTGAAGATGGTGTCATCTGTAACTGATTGTGTTGTAATGTACAGTATAGAGTTGAGACAGAGCTGCTAGGTAAACATAAGACTGTAAACAGTGGTTTGATATACTGATTTGCCAACAAGTACAGATGAAATTGGTTTTTATTAGTCCATCACGATGACTGTTACTCCTTGAACACAACTGGAATCATTTTCTAATTAATTTAGTGATCTTTTACAGTCAGTAGAGTCTCTTGACCACTGCCAAACTTAAAGTATCTGAGTTTCAGAACAGAGTTTTAGTGTCTAATGAAAGGTTTTGTGAGAATTGTGTATTTCTTCTTGTTGAATGTGAAGGTGCTGTCTTTTGAATGGTCATGATGCAATTACCTAATTGATATTTTATTGGATAGTAAAAAAGGAATTAAAAATATAAATCAATGAGCTCTGACTAACGAATAAAGTAATAAATCAATGCATAAATAAATCCAATCATAATCAGAGCAATTCATTCAACAATAAAAAGCAGCATTGACTGATTCTCACATGATTCATTTCCTCAGAGTTTCAGGGGAATGCACTAACCCTGACCCTAACACTACTGCGCTCAAAGACATGAGGTTTTAGCCCATTACAGCTCTAATTGTGCCACAACAAGGCTCCAGAGGTTCACAGATGTATCTGTGAACAACAATTAGCTTAAAACAAGCTGTCCTTTAAATGTCTTTGTTAACTGTATTTTGGCCTTTTTGGCGGCAGCTGAACAAATGCAAGATCAACTTTTTTTCTTATTCACACATCTGGCAGAAATTAGGGTTATCATTGATTTGGAGCCATGTGTGTGTATCTAATGAATGTTAGTCCACACTGACGAGAGCTGATGGAGTCAACCAAACAAAATTAAAGATTTGGGGTTTGAAACCAAAACAGAAAAAATGAAAAATAAAAGAAACTAAAACGCTCCAGAGCTGAGGGGAACTGTGGAGTCACATTTTGTAAATAGAAATATTGATTGGTGCAGTATCAAATTTATCTGGGAATTTTATCGTATTTCCTTTAATAGTCTATATAGTTAATAATCTGCTTATCAATAAATCAATTGAATTTGTCAATTATCAGGTTTTTTATAGTCATAATCACCCCTGTTTCTACTGTCCAAACGATTAAGACTATTGGTATGAAACATAAACGTTGGTCAAACCTTTAATCATACGTATACAAACATCAGCCTCCGTGTGAGTTACTCACTACTACACTAGCTGTTGTTGCGTTCTCACCTTTATATACTGCAGGTCTGAGCGCGCTCTGACTGAGTAGTCGGGTACGTAGATCTGCAGGAAGGAGTTGAGCTGGTTGTTGCTGTTGCCCAGCGTCGGAGTGATGGCGTCGATGCGATCACTCCTGTTCAGAGAGTCGGAGTGGTTGAGTCCAAACGGCCGTGGAGGAGATTTATTTTCTGTAAGGAGGTGAAAGAGCGGGAAAAGATGTTTAAAAGACAGAAGTCTAATGGATCCAAGTCTAACGAGTATACATACTTATTGCTTTTCTGAGTTGTTTCTTTAAGGGAAGACTAGGAGAAAAATAATATAAATAATTGAGACCTAAGGCCCTATAATATTGAGATGTCACTGATGTATTTTACACAAATGATTTCTCATTAGAATTGGTAGCGAGCTCCTCAGAGGCCATGGTGGGAATTTCTTTCCAAAATACTTTCCTTCACAAAGCTTTTGCCAGAGGCACAACTTACTTTAGCTTTCCCTCTCAACCTCTGCATGTTCCCAGGAAATGTGTTGAAATGCAAGTGATGCAATGCACATTCCCGAAAACCTGTGGCCTTTTAGGCATCGTAATTAGGTTCAGTTGGTTTGTCTTTCTTCCTATGGACTGTGCTGCTGTTGCACCAGAGCTGTCATATCCACAAAAATAAAAAAACACATGGCAAATGAGACAAATTAGATGTGTGTCATTATGTCACACTGGCTGGAGAAACAGAGTTTGATAAGACTCGTTCTTCCCAAGAACAAGAACAAGAGCAAGACAGTGTGTGATGATTTCTTATTTGACAGTCTTTGACATCTCTATTGCTCTAATCATTTACATCTTCAAGTTTATATGAAGCTTGGTACAGATACACAGTACATTATCCATCTGGCCATGTTCTTCAGATTTAAAACTCTATCATGTACCTGTTCTAACCTTCTCACAGCTCGCTCTGAAATGAGTGGAGCTGAACAACAGCTCCGGCAGCACTTAGGATCCTGTGTATTGATGACATTTTTCCAGGTCAAGTGTTAGATATTAGCACAGAAGCTCGCTGTGACACTGTATGGAAATCTAATTTCTGTATAAGGCTTTAGGTGAGGAACGTTTCATACTGTAGGTAATGAGTCGGTGGTCTCCAATGATGTGGCTTCCTTCTATGAGCCACCACACAGAGAACGTGCTCTGTTTTTGCGTGTGTGTGTGTGTGTGTTTGTGTGTGTGTGTGTTTTTTGTCATTTTTTAATTAAAGACAGATTATGTTTTCCACTTCTTAAAGAAGCCTAGTGAAAATCACACACAACAAAGTGGAAACGGCTTGGCCGAGCCTAATGCTACTACGCTGACTGGAATGTATGTAATCCCATGTTGGAATATGTGCGTGATAGGGAGTGAGACGCACAAACAGCGTGTGTGTGTGTGTGTGTGTGTGTGTGTGTGTGTGTGTGTGTGTGTGTGTGTGTGTGTGTGTGTGTGCGTATGTGTGTGTGGACTGAGCGCAGTGGGCCAAAGACCTGGCATGTGAACTCTTGCGGATTAGTACTCCACTTTCTAGGGGCCGCAGGGGCCAGGTCAGTACAAAAAAATGGCGGTGTGTGTCAAGGATACACACATAATGCCTTTACCTACATGCAGATACACACTCAACTGTGTGCGCAGCATCAGACTGGATGAAAAAAAAAAAAAAAACACGTTAAGAGGTGCAGAACGCGAGCGTATTTGTTCAACTGCATTTCCGGATACATGTGGGTGTGTTTGTGTTCCTGGCAGCATGTCCGTAGTTATGTGTGGAGTGTGTGCGCTCCGTGTACATGTGCCTGCGCATGTGAACATATGTGTGCATGTGTGTCTTTGTATGTGCGCTCAGTGGTGTCCGGCAGGGGGCTGTAGCTGTAGGTCTTGTTTATGTAGTCGGAGGGTTAAAGGTTAGGGGCGAGCGGGGTGGAGCCTGGGTCCGCTCTGGGGCCTCCAGTCTCCAACACCATTCAGCCACTTGACTAATGGCTCAGGGGATGAGCGTGTAAAGTCTCAATCCGAATCTGTTTTCCTCTCTCCCTCTTTCTCTTTCACTTATACACACATGAATATACAGAGCATGTTGCATTCAAGTACAAACAGACTTTCAGGCATGCACACACCAACACTGTCTTTGCCACAAAGTAGCAAAAAAAGATGCACATGCAGGCAGTGAGGATCAAAATGATAAAACACTCTGATCTACGTCAACACAAACCATGCAGGTTAAACTTTGCAGACAATCATCTGTGCAACATTTTGAATTCAACAACACATTATTTTTCAAACTGTCTAATTGGTTGACAGGAGGATGTGTGTGGTATTAGATATGAAGACATATATACACATAGAGAGAAGAGGCCACTGTACCTGGAGATCCTGCTAATGATTCAGCCCTACTGACCACAAACGTACGAGACAGCGACAGAGGGACTTGGGGAAGAGAAGAGAGAAAGAGCAAAGAGGGAAAAACAGAGGAGAAACGTCTGTTAAAGGTGGAAATGAATCAATGCATGTCCACAAACTGTAAACGTTCTGGGGACAAAAGGCAGAAGAGCACCAGCACAAGGTCTACAGATTAAAGCCGCACACTTTTCTCCTTCAGTCTTAACCGCTGTTGAACTTGTGCTGAAAGGTTCAATCAAAGAAAATGCACTATCACGTAGAATCATCAAGTGCTTGATTTGTGCGTTTTCTTTTATGCTGAGCACCTACGCACACACACAGAGGAAGGTTATTCTACTTTTCCACCAGTAGGTGTCTCTCAGATCCCACCACCCAAGTGACTCAGAACAGATGAGAAATGCTGAGAATAGTATTGTAGTTTATGAATGAACTGTGGAGACAGAGCGGATCACTGGGTGACGCTTTCTCATGATGTCACTGCAGGACGGCCTTTTCAGTCTCACATCTGTTGTTCATAAACATTCACCAAAGGAAATTTAGGCTTTTGATCAGAGAGGATCATAAAGTGATCTGTTCTTTGCCGGCTTGGCAGCACAACCTGGTTACTAGCACAAATAAAGGGAGGGCAGGTCCATTTCTACACGATTTAGGAGAAAGTTAAAACTGTTTTTTACAATGTATTTGGCTTTTACTTTGGCTTTCAATTTCATGTGCATCGCTGCTAAAAGCTTCACCAAGAAAGAAATAGGTAATACTGCAGGTATCTCTTACTTAGTAAATACAATGGGACTAGAACTGGATGATTATAAATAATTTAGATTTATTCTTATGCTGATATGATCCCTGACTTTTACAACTGATACAAAAACAATACTTTTTCAACACTTTATTTGAGGGATATTAAAGTGTTTCCTATGAAATCCTTATTTCATTTGATAAAATAATCTTTTTTTTTTTAATGTTAAGTTCTTTACAGAAACAAAATAAAGTAAAGTAAAAATTATCATCTAAATCAGGAACTGTCTGATCAAAGAATACATGAAAAAACAGTATGAAGCTAAGCGAGCATTTGATGCTAGGTTTTTGGTTCTTGACAGTTTTCAATTCCCGCTGCTACAGACACAAGAAACTGCATTTTAATCATTTATTCGAAAATGAAATAAAGTATTTCAAACTTCAGACAAAGGCAGGATGTGTCAGTCAGAGGTCTTACCTGGAGAGGCTGTCAGAGCCATCATCCCATAGAAGGAAAACGGCCCCGCTTCAAACTTCATCCCCTCTTTTCCTGCCTCCACCTCCACTTTCCCCTGTGACAGTAACAACCAACTGTTATCTGCAAAAACTGCACAACACAACAAGGTGGAGTACTCAGCTTACTTTTCAAAGTGTCTGCATTTTATGATTTTTTTTTTTTAATTCATCCAAATGCATGTGTGGTTGTTGTGTGTGGAGCATTAGTGCTTCATTGTGTCAGTTACAGTATATTTCGCTCAGCCTTTCTATCTAGGATTTCCGCTACAGCTTTGTGCTTTGCAATTCCGCTTTCACCCTTTTCAAAATCTTTTGATTCTTTTCCTGCTCAAATACATTTATTCACCCTGCCCGTGAGTTTAGAACAAATCCACCCGCTCCTTCCCTCCCTCTTTCCTCTCCTTTTTACTACTTGTAGAAAATCCGTACTCTGTTTAATAGCTCCCAATCTGCTCCTAAGCCTGGTCTCAAGGGCAGTGACCTCACACTTGTCCAACCTGGACCTCATTTGATCCGCAGCTACTACGCATATTGACTTAGTGGACTGATAGGGTGGAAATATACAAAGTATGTGAATGTCAGAATTATGTTTGTAAATGTTCTGTGTAGTGTTTTCACTGTGGAAAAACCACAAAGACTTTCAACTCCACCTTAGTGCCTATAATTTGGGACTTCCCTTGATCTCAAGCCTCATGAAATACTTGATACTCTCCTTAACACCAAAGGGGAAGACTCTGAGTTGGCACCAGCAGCACATTCAGAGACAGAGCAGACGCTCAGACCAGTTTTCAAACTGTAAGGCTACATGAAGGTCAGCAGCACTTGTTTTGATCTGCTTTTGAATAAATAATGGTAACTCTATAGCAGGATATCTTTTAGGTGTCTGCAAAGGCAGAGAGAAAGGAGAGGGATGTGACCACTACTAATATTCTGTTAATGCTTTTTAAATAAACTTACATTAGAGGATAAATGCATTATGATTTGTTAAGAAACCTTGGAAATACACATTTCACGTTATATATGATGCTTTTCACTTTCTTGTGCACTAAAAACGATGTAAGTGGACTTTCAAGTGGTGTATCTCTTAGAACAGACATTTGTATTCATGACGAGTTGTGTATCTATGGCATTGTTGCAGTACAATCATACCATGCATACCTATTAAGGATGCGTGGCCCCTGCAGCACAACTCTGTTAGATCAATGGCTACACTATGGAAACCGCTTGTAGTACTAACAGTAATGTGTTAGTACACTATAATGTGTTTAGTGTGATATATAGTGTAGTGTAGTTGTGCGTAGCTGCAGTGATAACACAGAATTTAAGTTGTAAAAGAGGAAAGATCAAATATTTATACAGATGAGGTAAAAAAAACAAAAAACAAACCCACACTGCATGAGCTACAAAACACACTGTCTATCTATTTTAGGAGAAAAAGGTACAAATACTGTTATTACTGTCTGAATGATAATGAATGTTTGTGTTGTACGTCATTTTAAATGCAGTCCAGTAGCGTGGCCGATGTTGGACATGTTTGGTTTGGAACAAATCTGCTGATGCACCTCATCGTGTCCACAAACCTGCAGAATGAGGATGAAATAATCCACGGGCTTGTTCCTGTGGAAGAGGTAGTGTTCTACCGCCCGCTTGTTCTTCTCGTCGTATTTCAGCTCCTGGATGACGTTTGGATGCTTCAACAAGCGCAGCAGAATCTTTTCTGACATTTGCACAGGAGCAAATGGCTCGACCTCTGAGGAGAGAGAGAGAGAGAGAGTGTGAAGTCAAACATTAAGTGTATCCCAACAGATACTGGGGTTTGAGGCTGGTACCAATAATCAATATCAGTTTCCTATTGGTCAATGGTAATTCTTTTTAACATAATGAATTACCATTTTTCAAACTACAATCCCAATCCTTCGTTGGCTCTTGTTTGAGACTTTGCTGGTTTTTTATCATTAAAAATTACACATTTTTATGTTTTGGAGTGTTGGTTGGACAAAACGAGCAATTTGCGGACGTCACATTTTGTTCCACAATAACTGTGACAAACATTTTTCACACATTTTCTGACATTTTATAGACCAAACATCCAATCAAACCATTTGCACCAACACATTCGTTTTGAAGTGTCACGTATGAGCAGTATGAAGAAAACATATGAGTGGGTCAAACCTGTGGTACAAGTTATGTGGAGAATGTCTCTCTCTCTGCACAAGAGAAAAACACTTGTTTTACTTCAGAATTATAATGACTTAATGTGAATTACATTGGGAGTTTAAATATGTTACAGAAATAAACACAAGTAGAGTAAACCTTTGCTAAATTATTATTATGCTCACCATATCATCAACATCATAGTTTGCCAGTTTACTGGGAGGTTTGACATTTTTCATTTTAATTTGTTTTTTTTTAAATATTTTTTCATTTTATTGGCATATTCTGTTTTTGGCAACTTATAAGCTACAGTTCAGTTGTTAGGATAATCCTCCCACTCTTCTCACTAAATCATTTGATTATACCTCCCATCTCAGCCATGCACCACTTTGCTTTAGCAAGATTTTTCATTGCATCTGATTTTATATTAAATTCACTCTTTATTTCTGTCACTGATCTGATGACACAATGTTGGCAGCTGTAGTCTACAATTAACATCTTCTGTTTCAGGTCCCGTCATACCACCACTGACACCGCTGCAAAGTTACTTTTTATCTGCTGATTTCTCAACGCAGGACTAGAATTCTTCTACTCTGACTTTGCGTGAATGAAACTTGCTCACAAACAGTGGAACCAAAAGAAGAATGAGGTGTCAATTAGTCTCATCATAAAATTTCACAAAAAACGTCCACCTCCTCATGAACAGGCAGCATTCATCAGGTTGAAACAAACCTTCATTACAAGCAAAACCTCAAAGATAAAAGTATCACAAGTTTAGGATAGGAATACAAGTTCCTCCATACTAAAACTTCACTATTGTTATTTCTGTCTACTCTTTTTGTAAGACCTACTGCTGGCCTGTCTGTCCTGGAAGAGTGATCCCTCCTCTGGTGCTCTTCTTTTCTGTCCCATGACAGGGTTTTTATTTGTGGAGTTTTTCCTTACCCATAGTTGCAGTCATAGTTTCCTCTCTGTTCCTGCACACAAACCTCTCTACACATTCAAACCTGACCAAAAACTCATTTAAAACTTGTAAAAGATGTATCCTAATCATGACTGGTCTGCTTCAACCACCTAATTGGCCAATCAGCTCCTTCAACTCAGCGGCGGTGATATGTGTCAGCTGGCTGCTGGCTCCACCACCAGGAACTAAACTCCCTAATAGTCTTTAGAGGAACTAAATCAACGCTTAGCTGCTAGGTCAAAGTTCTAAAGCAAATCCAACCTCAGTGAGGCATGGTCAACTGCTGCTGCTGCTGCTGCTGCTGCTGCTGCTGCTGCTGCTGCTGTTGTAGCAGAACTTGGATATTCTTCTGTCTGTTCAGAAATCCATTTCCCAAGGGAAAGTGGGTTGAAATATTTCACATTTTACACTAAATATGTCGACTTGTGTGAGAACCCCGATCATAGGCCAAAAATGCTGGGTGTGATGTCACTCAGGAACGAGTGTAAGCAAACAGGGTGGTGTTTTTAAAGCTGTGACTCAACATGTAACCTTCAGTGCATGACATGCAAGCAAATAGACGCCTGCTTTTTTTTTTTTTTTTTTTTTTTGGATCCAAGCTCGCACAGTCTGCACAGACATCCCGTGCCGTGCTCCCGAAAGGCCTTCCACCTCTTCACAAACACACACACACATGCATACCAACACGCTTGTTGTGAGTCTTCACACAACTCACTCCCTCACACACACACACACACACCAGATACTCATTCTACACACATACTCACTCCCCCCTACACCCACTTGCCCAAAAATTCAAAGCCCATACGGGCACATGCACACACAAACAGCTCACACACACACACTTTCCCCACAGTGAGGGGCTGAGGGCACACTGGGGGAAGTCAAGCAGCAACGCAGCCCACTTGCCTGTTGCTAGGAAACGCAGGGTAGCCAGCAGAAGCTGAGGTGATATTTTAACCTTCATTTCATTGTCGGTAGGCTTGAAGGCCGAGAAATCCTGCTTCCTTTCCCGATGGGTGATTTTCTTCTTCGTCTTGTTGTCAGCTGAGGAGGGAAAATTAAAAGTCGAGGGTAAGACACAAACTGAGACCTTTTCTGCAACAGAAAAAGGTCAATCCATACCACTGCACAGATACTGAGCTAGTCGTCCCGGGTCATAGGGTGACTAAACTTGAGTTACCCAAAGCTTATTGCTTTTTCCAGAAACGTAGCTGTGGCGTCCTTCTCAGAACTAAAGGAGAGCTATAGGGGGCTACACTGTTAGCTTACCACATTCTTAGCATTACTTAAAGCCATATGTATTAGGGCAACAAATAGACTGGCACGTACTCCATGTCTGCGGGCCTTCACTGATACCATTAGGGTTGTAACAGTACAGCCAGTTCAAGGTTTGTCATTAAAATCATTATTTATTCATGCTCGGATGTAAAATGTTTCACCGTAGAGAATCTTAAGTGTAAAATTGCACAATTAAGATTTTTTTTTCTAAATGGAAATAAACTGATAATAAAAAATGTCTTAATGCAAAAGTCCTCCTCCAGAGTCTGAACTTAGCTGCAGTAACATTTTCCAAACCCTAATTGAGACATCTTCACACAAAGTGATGCAAGGAAGGACGAGGACATTTTTTTTAAGCTTGTCAACATTTTCAGGCAGCAGTTCATCTTTGACAGTTTCATGTGTCTCTGTGTTAACTGTCACTTTTCTGTATTTATATATATCAATATCCCTCTTATTTCTCTTCCTGTAAAACATTTCTGATGACTCACCCTGCATCCGGAGGCACATACATACATAAGTATATCTAGTTAAATTTAAGTTGGGGTGACTAGCTAATCCCTCCCCATCAAATAAGACCACTCTTGCCTGTTAGCCTGTTAGTCTATTAGCTAGCAGAACAATATCATGGTAGGAAAGTCTGTGTTTGTTGGATCAGTGGAAAAACACTGACACTTTAACAGTCATAAATAGCTCTACAGCTCCAGTCCAATCAGATCTGAACTCTTTGGTCAAATCCCTCTTGAAATGAAAACTCCACTCACATATTCCATTTCACCCAGAAATAAGTTAAATTAAACTAGAATTAAAACACTGAGGCAAATTGTTAGCAAACACTAGCTACATTGCAATATTAGCATTCATTTGGAGTCATATTTCTGATCACCTGATGAATATACATTCACTCACTCTCTTTTGTTTTGTTCTCCACCAACTCTTTAGGGGAATATCTGGATCTTTAGCCAGTAAATGCTCCACCATATTTGGTGCTAAGCAGGTAGACTGCTGAATGCTGCGCTGAGTTGTGCCATAATTCCCAGTGGGTTCATTACTATACAAACAACCCCTTTTTACTTTACACATTGTTGGGACAAAACGACTGATCAGCGCAGCTTTAGTTGTGCCTTTTAACTGGCATTTAAACATTTGTGTCTTCCAGGATTCACAACTCGTCAGATTCTGCACATATAACAGTTATCAGCTCCACATTGCCTTTTGTCAGATTTTGGTATCATGCTATATTGTGCTATACTATACTAGCATACTACACTATGCTATACTGTACAATATTATAGCTACAGCCTTGATACCAAAAAACATTGGCGGTTTAGCAGAATAAAGAATATGATGTGACTCATTCACTAGTGCTTATTTGAGAGCCCCTGCAAGTTTACAAATGTATATTTAAGTAAGTATCCAGCAAGAATTAGACCCACATTAGATTGCTTTAAAGTCACTGTGATGTAAGAGAGCTGTTACATTGAGCCCAACCGCTGGGCTTGGATCAGTTTATAACAAGCCATGGATTTAAGTCTGGAGCTCTTACTTTGACAGGCTGGTGACGCCTTGAAGTCTTAAACTCTAAGAAGTCTGAGCTTCAAGAGAACTTACTGTACAAGTCAGTCTCGTCCAGGATCTCTGACTTGATGATTTCTTCAATAACGTCCTCCAGGGTGACAATACCCAGAACCTCATAGAAAGGGTCTCCCTCACCCTCATTGTTCACCCTCTGAACTATGGCCAGGTGGGATTTTCCTAACAAAACATACACACACACAGACACACACACAGACACACACACACACAAACACACACGCGCGCCGATACACAAACACAGGTGATAAAGTTAGGGTCATATAATGATAAGAGAGTTAAATGTACATCAGGCAGTGGTGGGGGTACAAGGGAAGAAACAGGCAGGGACACACACAGGTATTTCCATCTATAATCTGTATCACAGAAAAATACTTTACATACTTTACATTGTATTTTATACTATGAAAAAGGGGAAGAATCACTCATGTCAGATAGAGCTGTGGCTGTTATGAATTGCAATTCAAATCACACACAGAGCAGGAGACACAAAGTGATCTGATCTCCTTATCAGTTAAATGAGCAGGGATGCAGAACATGGTAGTTCAACTGTTCAAGTGTTAATAGTGCCAGCAGAAACTCAGACAGCGAGAGAGAGACAGACAGACTGACAGTCAAAAAGCATTACATTTCATCATATGAGCCCCCACAGCCCTCCCTCCCTCCTTCCCTCCCTCTACATCTGTGTTCCCAGGACCCTCCTGTGTGCTGTACCATCTGAAAAAAAAAAAAAAGAAACAAACTGCCGTGTATGCAGAGAATACTGTCAGGCAAAACACTAAACAAATTCTTTGCCTTTTCTCAGCTTGTGATCATTTAAAAGGAATTTTCCAGAGGCCCAGGCTAATATTAGCCCCTGCAAAATGAAGTTTCCATTCCGCCCCGGCGATATTCTCACCGAGCGAAGGAACAGACCGGGCGAAGCCTCCGCTGTGTGATCAGATTGTCTCGAAATGGGCCGTTTGCATGCAGATACACCTGGGTGTAAATAATGGAGGACATCAGTGTGCTTGTGTGTACGTGTGCATGTACGTGTGTCAGAGTGCATGGGTGTATGGGTGCATGAGTGTGTGTGTGGTTATTTTTGGAGAACACAGGTACATCACAGAGTCGGTGCTCAGATGCTGTTTCAGCTAACGTAGGCTGCTTTGGTGCAGGCGAGCACAGGCTGAAAGGACCTCTGGGCTGATCACCAAGAGTGTTTTATTGCACTGCAGCTCACTGCTTCCTCACAACACTATGACGGCACACTGATGTGCATTGAACAGAGCCTGAGAGTTTGAATGTAAGAATGTTGTGAGGGTTAGATGCAGAATTGATGCTTTCAACAAATATGCTCAGGTTACAGATAACAGGCTGGAAGGGGAAGATCCCTAAATGGAGGTGTTAATAAGGTAAACACAGAAATCCACAAACGCAAGGAGTCTGCAAATGGCACGCAGTATACAAGTCTTATTTTCAAAGTGTCCAACAAGAGTGGAATCTGCTTATTTCTATTAATATTTCGACATCTTTAGCATATTGCTTTATCACTGCGGGATGGGGTTTAACTAGGACAAACACAAATGGAGCCATGGTGGGTTAAAGCAATCAGGCCTCTGAAGTCCTTGAGCAAGCAATTACTCTAAACTGCCCTGGGAGGGAATGGCAAATGGAGTGGCCAGCACAGCACAGTGAAACAGATCAATGCTCACTTCCCTCTCTTTAATGGCATCCACTCCACTCACATCTGGTTTATGAACACAGCTCCCAAATAAAGGTTTGTAGGCAAAAAACGTTGACCTAAATGTCACCTTGAACTTCAAAGTGGGAGCTGAAATCACCTGAACATGAAAATCCAGAAGATACGCAAATATGTGAAGTGATTTCATTTCCGTTAGAATGAATTTTTTTTCAGCACAAATCAACTTGTTTCAAGATCTTTTTACATCCAGTAACATTACAGTCACTTGTATTTGTTCCTTGTCATTTAAAGGGGCTATTGTGAAGTTTTATTTGCCACCAAAACATGTTTTCTTGCCAGGAACAGGTTGTGGTGATCGATTGTGGCTTGACAAGAGCTTCAGCCATCGTTGTCTTTATAACCAAGCGGGATATAATCCACCCTCTGTGCAGCGCTACTTCTTCAGGGCAGATTGGAGGCTACAGTGAGTTGTTATTGGACAGTGATGAAATAGGTTGGGGCTAGCTGGTTAGCATGCTAACTTCAGTAGAAGAAAAGAAGTGATAGAGACAAGTGCTAACATCAGTGTTTCTTTCCAATGCTGGAGACACCTCTTGGCGAGTAAAGGAATAAGGTTTGATGCTTAACTCACAGTGTTTCCTCTAGACTGGTAAGTAAACAGCTGCTCATGCTAACGCTGGCTATGTAGCAATAGCAAAAATTACAAACAGCTCCTTTAAAAGGAGTCGTGTGTCATTTTTGGAAATCATGTTTCATATTCTCTTTCTTGCCAAGAGTTAGATGAGAACATGAAGACCACTTGTCTGATTGAAGTTAGTTGAAGTCAGTAGCTGGTGAGCTTAGCATAGAGCCAGAAAACAAGGGGAAACAGCTAGTCTGGTTTTGTCCAGAGGTAACAAAGCCCCCTAATTATTATATTTTGTTAATCCTGTAAAAAAAAAAAAGAAAGAAAGAAGAAAAAGAGACAGAAACAACAAAGAGCTGTCTCCTCTGCTTTCAGTCCATGCTAACAGGCTGCTAGCTGTAGTTTCATTTATCAAACTGACATGAAAGTGCTATCAAGAACGCAGATAAACAAATTTCCCTAAATTTCTGACTATTTCTTTACGAAATCTTCTGAAAAGTAACAATAAAATTAAAGGTTTGAACAAATAGTCTTAAAACATGGCAAACTTATTAGCTTATCATCTGAAATGAATATAAAATTATATACTCTTTCAACCCTTACAGAAACATTTCCTGTACAACATGTGCATGTAGTCCAGCAACACCAAAGGCTACAACCTCAACACCTCTCTGACATAGCCTCAACAAAAAGTGAGCGTTGCACTGATTTATTTTTACTTTTGTGGGGATTTAGTATGTTTATACTGCATATAGTGTAGTGTCAAACTGTTCTTCTTATTGTGTCCACCTTGCAGATATAGGAATGTCAGGTTTGGTTTCATCAGAGGAAGCAGAACAACCAATCAGAATCTGTGTCAACATGACCTCACCTTTCTGACAGAAAACAAGAGCGACCTCTGACCTTTATGTAAGCCAGCTGATAGGAGGTGGAGGAGATCACACACAATCTGTTCTGCTCTTTAAGTGGCCATGTGCACACATACACTGAACACACAATCGTAACAGCACGAGGCACTTGTTTGACAAGTTAAACTAATCCCATCAGGATGTTTGTCCACATAAAGACCACTTTCCAACACTTCCTTCTATGGAGGAGATTACTTGGGGAACTATTAAAGATGACCCATCGTAAGAGCTTTATTAACAGAGGCCGCATAGGTCACCAGTTTAAAAAAAAAAGAATGACACACAGGAAAAAACTGAATGGGAAACTATTGCAATGACAGAGAAAAGCATGTTTATGCAAAGTTTAGTTGGTGTTTATTCTAGAGTCTGTCCCATGGGCTGCAATGTAAGGAGACAGAAATTTCACAAATTCCATGGAACTGACGGCAAAGGGAAAGTCATACACAAGCCTTTCACTTCATACTACTCTGTATATTTTATGTGGAAATCATCAGACATGTTCTAAGAGAATATTTTGCCATGCTAGAGCTGTGGCTCCAGCGCGGACAATATCGGTCAGTTGGTTGACCTTTGTTCCCAAGTGAAATTTCTCAATTATAGATTGGATTGCCATTCCATTTTGTGGCCAATCCTAATGACTTTGAGGATCCCCTGGTTTTTCATGTAGTGCCACCAGCAGGTCAAATTTATTACCTATCCTGTGAAATATATTCACATCTTCTGCACAGATTAGCACAAAGTTTGGCACAGACATTCATGGCTACCAGATGATGAATCCTAATTACTTTGGTGATCCCCTGACTTTTCCATTGGCACCACCATGAGGTTGGTGTTTTTAGTTCAGAGTAAAATGTCCAGAGAACTATTGGATGTATTATCATGAAATTTACAATCAACCCTGTTCCTTTGGTGATCCCTTTAATATTTTATCTTTGCCATCAAGTCAAAATTTTAATCAGTCCTGTACTTTGGTTCATGACTAAATAGCAGCAAAACCTGCTAACATGCTAAACTAAGATGGTGAGCTGGTTAATGTTAGTTGCTAAACACCATCATATTAGCATTGTCATTGTGAGTATGTGAGAAAGCTGATGTTAGCATTTAGATCAAAGCATTGTCATACCTAAGTACAGCCTCACATAGTCTTCTTGGTGGTATCGTCTATGGACCATGAATGTCTGCACAAAACTAAATAACAAAACAATTGGACCAAGGTGGTGGAGGAACCAACATTTCACTAGAAAGGTGTCATGCTGTTAGCATGGCTAAACACATGCAGACAGACAGACATACAGCCGGATACTGTACATACACAAATACTATTTTGTCATTTATTTTTCCACTTGTTTGTGCCCAAGATATTATTCTTTTGTTTACTTTAGGATGTTGGTCAGTGTTATGTAAAGTGTAATATGTGCAAGTGTCAGCTAGCGTCTGGAGCATATCAGACTATAGCTATATTAGTTTTTATAAGGAGAAGTGCAGACATCAGTTGAGTCATACAGTAAAATTGGACTTTTGATTCAACTCACAAATGTTTCATGGTTGTTAAGATAGATTTGGATACTTTCTTGATGTCATTACACTACATCTATTTGTTTTTGTCGGAAGCAACATGACAAAGTAAGTCCAAAACTCAGTCTCTGAAACACCAGCTGCTAAAATGATGTTAGTTTCATGTGGGGCTATTTTATGTAAATGAAGATCTAAAAGTTGCCAATTTACGAGTTCTGTACCCATGTAAACTTCCCCTCTGGAGTTGTTGTTTATCTAGTCTAGCTCTGTCTTTCTCAATAATACACACACACAAACATACATGCGCGCGCGCACACACACACACACACACACACTCGTCTTTCACACAGTAGCTCCGCTTCAAATCGTTTTGTCTCACTGTCCCACAAGATGAGTGCATACTTTCCAGTTTCCCACAAAGACAAAATAC